TAATTTTTCTCAGATGATATTTCATTTTTATCAACATATCTTTATCCTTTTTGTTTTTCGTGGATGGATTTGCAGCAGGTAGTGCTACTTAATGACATGAAAATGTTGACTTATTAGTTTTTAATGCAGTCAATAACAATAACATAACGAAAATAATTTCTACAAATGTAATATTATTGGTGGCATCTATAATATAATCAGGTTATTGGAGTTTAGACATAATATTGCAAAGCTATTGCCTTGTTTGTAGAATGTGAATGTAAATAATGTTTTCTTGTTAGAAAAAAGTGTTTATATTAGATTGTCTAATCTTTTTTATATAAAACCAATGTACTTTTACTTTCCATTTTGCTTAAATGTCATGTTACATATGCCATGTTAAAAATTAGTTAATTACTCCGTCACTTACGTCCATCAATGTACCAACGGTTTTTCTATGTACCAATGTATGTAATGTAAATAAAAAATATGTATTTCAAAAACCACTTTTATTTGAAAAATAGTTCCTTTTTTATATTAAAATGATTGCTAATCGTTTCAAAAGTGGTTTATGAATGTAAAGTACCATAATTTACAAATAACTTTGTGCTTTTGTTTTCGTTTTAATTTAGCAATATATATCATTGAAACGAAAAACTACAAGCTATATCTATCTATATGGTATTTTACATTCTTAAGCCATTTTTGAAACGAAACAACCAAGACGACAACTAAAAAAAAATCACGTGTCAAAATTCCCGCGCAAAAAGTTTTAGGGGGCACGACAGAGATGGCGTGCATTATTGGTGCCATTTTCTTTGTTTGAAGTTGACATTCTTCCCGCCTAAGGGTATTAGTGTTCTGTGTTATTTATTGTAATACATTTGAATACATTTGCTCACTTTACTTTAGTCTCAGCTGTATTTTTACAATGGGAATTATTAATAACTCTAAATTACTTCTCCATGAAATTAAATAACAGAAGAATAAGAACATCGAAATGGCTGTTTGTAGTTTGCGAACTATCTTGCTAATCGTGTGTATACTTGAGTTGGTAAGTTTTAATTGTATGGAATGTTTGTTTTAAGATTTATTTCTGTAAAAACTGCTGTTTTTCTAATTTGATAATTTTTTCCAACTACATGAATGCTATGTAAATAAATGATTGTATACAATACCTTTAACAGAAACATCCTTAAATATTATTCATGGCTAATTTAGTAAATGTCCCAATAATAAAACATAGTCCCACATCTCTCATATTTTGTACCTTCATTTTTCTTTTTCAGATAATTACTTTGCAACGGCAAGTTTTTGATTTCTTGGGTTACATGTGGCTCCCTATAATAACAAACTTTGTTAATATATTATTAATAATATTTGGATCCTTTGGAGCAGTGCAGTATATAACAAGATATTTATTAGCTGTAAGTAATCATGAAGTGAAACTTTTTTGATAATATATTGCATGTTAACACATTCATGTTAGGCACCAATCCTAAACACAGCTCTTTTTTGACAAAACTCTCATGAAAACTTAAATTATGTCTGAAGACATTTGGCCATAACATTTGAACAAGTTATTAAACAATGTCACTTCACTTTAGACTTTTGAATAGACTGAATTTTCAATTGCTGGTTGTTGAGAGAGGAATTGTAAATATCAAATTGTAATGACTTGGTTTTGCTACATTTCTTTGTATAAATGTTGATAATACACTGCTGGCCGAAAGTTTAAGACCACACTCAAACACACAAAAAAAAAATCTATAAATTGCAATGAAATCTCATAAGATAAATAAAAGAAATGTACACCTGCATATTCTATTGTTAATATTGAATATCTAAAGAAGTCATTCTTTTATTTACTTTCAAGTTATGGGACAATAAACATGTACTGTTTTCAAACACCCACAAATGCTGTGTTAGAGCCAGGTGGTAGAGTTGTAATAATATTTTTATGATGGGCTAATAAATAATTGCTTTGCTTTTGTTTGCCATTGGTCAATAATTAGGATTATTAAGCTTTTAAAAATATGTTTTCGACTTATTATTATCTGAGTTTACATGGTTTTGTTCACAAACAATCTCAATTAGTCTAAACTTGTAGTTTCTACAGTGAAGACATCTTAAAATGGGAAAAGCACATGAAATTAGCAGTAAAGTGTGTTCTGCCATCGTTGTTTTACATTGAAGGCAAATCTGAACGTGAGATTGCTTTACAATAGAAGTTATCGAAGACTTGTGTTCATGGCACAATAACTCGAAACAGGAAGACAGGCACTTTTCAAGATCGTTCACGCTCGGGAAGGCCAAGAGCTACTACGTCAAGTGAAGATCATTTCATTGTTGTTACCAGCAAGCGAAATAGAAGCTTAACAGCACCTGAAATCTGCGTTGAAGTAAACAAAAAGTAAACAAACGGCGACTGAGAGATGCGAAATTGTATGGTTGTGTTGCCATTCAAAAATCTCTGTAAAGGCCACAAAACAAGAAAAAACCGATGCAATGGGCCCATTGAGATTAGACTGAAGAGGATTTAAAAAAAGTTCTTTGGATCGATGAATGCAAGTTTGAGCTATTAGGTTCAAAACGAAGAATTTACGTTCAACACAGTGACCAAGAAAAGATGATGCCAGACTATGTAGTCTCAACAATCAAGAATGGTGGTGGCTCAATTATGGTCTGGGGTTGCTTTTCTAGCCAAGGAACTGGCGATTTAATCAAAATTTATGAGTTCGGGGAGTGATCCCGGCGTGCCGAGATGTTTCGCCCTGTACGTAGCGACCTCCGGACATTTCAGTAGCACGTGGGCCGCCGTTTTTTTCTCCCCCATACATGCCCTGCACCTGGGACTATCTGTAACACCTATAGTAAATAAAGGTGCTGTGTCCTGTGATAGCACTTGTTATTATCCTGATCTGCGGCTTATTCAGTGTCATTAGAAATTTGGTTAAATGACTGTTTATTTCAGGCAGGGCCTCCCTAGCTTGTCTACAGTCTACTAAATTTTGCCAAAGCTGAGCGTGTTGATTAGTGAAGTGTCTACGTATCAGTGACCGAACGTTACCAAAGGGGATTGGTATGATTGGTTCCAGCCCTATAGTGGCCAGATCCGATCCTCTTCTGGCCAGTTCGTCTGCTGCATCATTGCCTCTGGATCCACTGTGTCCCTTTATCCATTGCAGAATCAAATTGTTGTTTTTACATACCTCATTTAATCGTTGATGGCATTCATATATTAGTCCCAAGTTCACCACATTGCAACTCAGAGCTTGTAGTACCGCCCTACTGTCGGTCAGTATTCTGATGGAGAAGTCATTAACCTTCCTAGCATCTATTGCTATGGCCACTTGAATGATACCCATACATTCCGCCTGAAAGACTGTGTTATAGGTACCCAGCGGTGTGTATGTGTGGATATTGAGTCTTCAGAGAAAGTTCCAGATCCTACACCTTCATTTGTTTTAGAACTATCGGTGAAAACTCTAAGCTCTTTTGGGCTTAATCCTTCCAGCTGGCTGGTTTCATTTAATTGTATCTTGTACTTCTTATCGAATACAAATTGTTTAGGAATTTTATTGTACTTGGTTTGTAAGATAGGAATTTTTGAGTGAAATCTATCAATTATGTCTGTACGAGGGACACTATTCTTTCTCCAAAGATTTAAGGTCTTGAGTCTAATGGTAGCTAAAGTCGCTTCTTGTTGTATATGTGATCATGGGCCGAATTACAGTTTTGTACAGCCACAGTATTATATTTGGCATCAGACCCCATCTTTTGCCAATCATGTTTCTGCATTGCCAGACAGTTATACTAGCTTTGTTGATTTTGTTTCCTATGTGTTTGTTCCAGTTAAGTTTGCTGTCTAAGGTAAGACCTAAATATTTTACCACAGAGGATAGCTGGAGTTTTGTGCTGAAAAGATTTGGGAGATGATAGTTATTCAGCATTTGTTTTTGTGTGAACATTACTAGAACCATTTTATTTGGATTGACAGTTAAATCGTATTCCCTGCACCATCTCTCCACTATACGGAGAGCCGCTTGGGTCAGATCGCACACTATGCTTGCTGTCTTTCCAGAGACCAGTATTGTTGTCAGGTCATCAGCATAACCTACTGTGTAGAAGTGATTAGTACTTAATTTGCTGATGAGTTCATTAATGACCATATTCCACAGGAGAGGTGGGAGAATCCCACCCTGCGGGCAGCCTTTCTTAATCTGGATTGGTTGAGATTCACCAGCAATCTTTATTATTCGTGTACTGAGCACGTTTACTATCCAGTCAATCAGCACCGGTTCAACTTTATGTCTACTAAGTGCACCTTTTATGCTGGAGAAATTCGTTCTGTCAAAAGTACCTTCTAGATATAGAATAATATATAGAATATATAGAATAAAAATATGAAGGAACCTAGACATATTTCTTTGTTTTGGATGGCTTCTTCAATCTTTGTTATTACCTGGTGAAGTGCCGATTCTGTTGATTTGCCTAGACTGTGGGCGTGTTGCTTGTCATGTAGCGGTAAGTTCATTAGCGCCGACCCCCTTAATTCCCTTTCACACATCCTCTCCGTCGTCTTTAGGAGAAAGGATGTGAGGCTAATGGATCTGTAGGATTTAGGGTCTGTGTAGTCGCTCTTACCTGGTTTGGGTATGAATGTGACTTCCACTTTCCTCCATCACCTAGGAACATATTTAAGAGCCAGACAGGCTCTCATTATTGCAACAAGTCTGACTATTAGGGCTCCCCCCACCCCCACTGTAGGAGTGCCGGGAATATGCTGTCAGGTCTTGCCGCCTTATAGGGGAGGAAACTGTGAATGGCCCAATGGATTTTATCCATTGTTATCATTCTGTGCTAAATTCCAGTCTTCTGCTGTTGGTGCCAGTATATCATCATGCCAGTTTGCCTCCCGAGTTACGCAGCAACCTCGGAAGTGCGTTTCAATTAGGATGCGTTGGGTTTCATCCGGTGATGTTGAGTAGCTACCGTCGGGTTTCTTGAGAGAGATGCTTGTCCGCAGGTTTCTATGTTGCCACAGAGTTTACGCCATCCTGTCGAGCGTCGATACCTGATACATTTTTTGTATTCGGACTTAGCTTTCTTGTATAGTAGCCAGTCTTCATCTATTGAGGTATTCATGACCCTATTTAGGGCTTTTTTTACCTTCCTACGTTTTCTGTCCAGTTCTTTACCCCACCACGGTTGCTTTACCTCAGCATCAGCAAAGGAGGATTTTTGATGAAAAATCAGTTTAGCTAACTATAGCCTTTTTTAGCATAGACTGTTAATATTTCTTTACGTTTTTCAAGTATATTGATTGTCAAAAAATATATTTTTTTTTATTTGATGATTTAACAGTTTAATTAAATCTTTAATATTTTATTGGAGTTTTATTTAATTTTCATACTTTAATTAAGGTAGTTCCCGAAAAAGTTCGGGAAATTACGGCACATCTTCTCGTCCGGTATACCTCAAAACTTGAAAACGAGACTGTACACCCAGTGCGTGTTGCCAGTGATGACATACGGAACTGAGACGTGGTCCTTCACTGCTGGCCGGATGAGGAAGCTCAAGGTCGCTCAGCGACCTATGGAGAGGGCTATGCTCGGAGTTTCTCTGCGTGATAAACTCAGAAATGAGGATATCCGCAGTAGAACCAGAGTGACCGACATAGCACAACGGATTAGTAAGCTGAAGTGGCAATGGGCCGGCCATATAGCTCGAAGAACCGACAACCGATGGGGAAGAAAGGTTCTCGAGTGGCAGCCTCGTACCGGCAGGCGAAGTGTAGGGCGTCCCCCCACTAGATGGAGTGACGACCTGGTAAGACATGCAGGAAGTCGATGGATGCAGGTGACTCAGGACCGTGCTTTGTGGCATTCTTTGAGGGAGGCCTATGTTCAGCAGTGGACTTGTGAAGGGCTGTAATGATGATAATGATGAATTAAGGTAGTCTTAAACTTTCGGCCTGCATTGTATATTATAATAACCCTTTTTATAGTCTTGAAAAAATTTAAACTTGGTGTTAGAGATACCTTGCATTATATAGGTTTTTAATGATTACTGACACTGGATTCGAGAAACTGGTATCACTAGCTTGTGTTTGTTGCTAGTATTTAAATAATGAATACCTAGCGTTGTTTTTATCAGTTATTCATGTTTCATTTTCACGACGTTGAAGCACTTTTTACATATTTAACTGATTTATTTTATTGAGTATATTATACAAAATGGATGATTATTAGAGGTTATTAAGACTTTTTAATAGATTAGATTGATGGATTTTCTGTTGACTGTAAAGTAAAGTAAAAGCCTACTTTCTCTCCACTATTCGGCACCAGTCTCCTCTCATGTCTGAGTGTTATGGAGCAGGAAAGATATTGCCTCACTTTTCAGTGTGTTAACGAACTTCACAAATTAACAACAAATATTTTTAGTATCTCAGATGTGTTTTTTAAATATTTATCACTACTATACAAGTTTGTAGCATTATCTCTGAATTTCAAGCAGATTGTTAGCTTACTAGTCTTTGTTACAATTATTTTTTTTTACACTTTCAGTATGCAATATGGAGTTTTATGTGGCTGTCATGGAATATTTTTCTAATTTGTTACTACCTCAATTTAGGGGGACTAAATAGGGTGAGTTTGTTGAAATATATAATATATTTAAAATGAAATAAATATAATAAATTTACTTTTCTTGTAGTCTTACAAAAATAATGAGTTTCCTCCAGTGTTAAATTGAAAGAAATATTCTAAACAAGAAAAGCAGTTCACTAGTGAGAGATGTAATAAACACCCATTACATAAATATCCCACAGAAAGTCAATAAACACAATGTACAATGTGAATTGCATATTATACAAATGTTCTCAAAGGATATTGTAATTTTTATACATGGTGGTTTTCTCCCGTTATTTATTTCGATGTTGTAGAGGTGGTAAACAGTTACTTGAAACCCAATTTAACACAGTTACGTACCGTAACGGGGTAGCACCGTTAGTCCTGGGTCTGATCTGTCTCTGGTCGTGTTAGATAACCTTCCTATTGGACTATGAGAGTAAGGGAATAGAGTTTTCTGCGCAAATGTTTAGTCTAGTTGAGACCGGCCGCCTCCACCGAATTCAGTCTGGATACGATATTGTTATATATTATTTTATGTTCTATGTATTCTAATAAGGGTTTAAATCATTCCAGGAAAGTGGTTTATTGTCACTGGGAACCGGAAGTGTTAGCTGGTGGGAAGGCAATGGGTGGGGATGTCAACCTGTCTGGGGCGAAGTGGATGGGCCTGGTACTTGGCGGCCAGCTCATGTAGATGGTTGTTTTTTTCAATGGCATCATGTTGAGCTTACGCAATCTGCTATAGCAGCATTTCTTACTGTCACAGCCTTGCCACTCACTATTCTCCTTGCTTATCGTTCTTTTAAAAAACAGAAATCAGTGTCAGGTATGTCAGGTATAAATTGAATATTTTTTAAACCGAAAACTAACATGTTCAATGTAAAAATCTAATTAAATAATCATATTTGCAGACAAAAGTTCCTTACCTCGCCGTCCTGCGTATACAATAGAACTGAGTCCAACAGAAACTAACCTAAGTGAAAGTTCCATGAAACCAATGACGCCGAGAAGAGTCAAACGTCGTTCTGGGTCGAGAGGAACAGGGTCTTCAGTGCGAAGATCACGTCGTTCGTATAGAAACGCGGGATACTTGTCCTCTACTGCGTCACTCCCACGTGACGCAAGACCTTCCCGACCTACATCGGCGCATTCGTCATATTCAAACTTTCATGCTGCACGTCCAGCGTCTTACCACCCAACACAACAAAATACATTAACCCGCTCACAGGATGTCTACGATCCTCCCCCTCCAACTGAATCGGTACCTATTATGACTAACCGATTTAACACAATAAGAAAAAGTGCGAGAAGTTCGAATAACACTGGTCATGACGTCGTCGGCCCTTACAACGAACCTAGAACATACGAGCCTCAACAAAATTATGAATCGAATATGCCGCCGTATGATAATATCGGGTGTGGATACGAAGTTGCTGCACCAAGTTATGACTCCAGAATAGATCCTGTTTCGCCATGTTCCGAATCTCCATCATATGGCGTTAATGATTATAATGCGATGGGATACCCTGGTGGAGAAAGTGGTTGGGAAGCGCCTCCCCCTCCAGCGCCCCCGTACAGCGCACGAGCGACACCGCAAGCCCCCGGCCCGCCTGCTTACCAACAAACTAACGACACGTATAATATAATGCCCTAATAATTCCTTTCCTTGTGTGCCTTATTCCAGTGATGCTCAGTTTTTTAGATTGATATTTGTATAAAGCCTTATTCTTATGACAATTGAAATAAGTATTGGAAAATACCTCGTGTATTTATTTGATTTTACAGGGAATCAATTAAAATAATTTTACGATCCTATGTATTACAATTAATATCATGTTTATATATTTCTTAAGTCATTATTGTTGATGTATGAAATACATTCCTTTTCTTAGTGTTATTTTTAGAAATTGAATGTTATGAGTTATGACACAACATCGTAATTTAATTGTAATGTTGTAAATTAGAATTAATTATTACTTAAAGGTAATTGAATTTATAAATTATACTTAAATTTATATTTAAGACTTTATTGTCAATCTCGAATAAATAAGATTAAAAAAGTGACCTTGAACAAGCACAAGTCATATACTAGCTATTAAGTTTGAACATCTGTATTTTTCTACAAGGATATTTGTTATTTATATACAATTTTATTGTTTAAAAGTACATTCCTTTTTTAGTATCCACCGATCTTAACAATTTTCCGTCCAATATATGAACAATCTCTTTTTAACTGCGTTTAAAAATATACTGTAACAAGCATAGATTGTAAGTTTTACACATTTGCATTCTTTTGGTTATTCGATTAATAATTTATTAATTATTAAATTATTCCCTAAAAGATGTCTAAAAATAAATTTAAAATTCCTAAATTTCTCCCTAATTTGTACTTATACATATAAATAGTATTTACGAGCTTATTCCACTCATATCAACGTATTTCTTATAAATTAGGACTTAGAATGTGAGCTTTATTAGTGTAAGATATTTTTATTTTTAGACAATTTTGGGTAATGTTATACCAAATATACTAATTTCACAGAACTTACGATAACTCGTTTTTATTTTTTCCTTACATAATTTTAACAGAGACACGACACGTCTTTCCTGTTGACCAGGGTATTTTATGGCTCTGACTGCAAACCATACGCAATCTCGAGGACCTGCTAAAACGGCAACGGACTATCCCAGCATGCATATTCCCGAAATTAATTTCGAATTCGATTTATCGATTGAAGGTGACGGACGTTGTTTTGAAGCTCATTTTAAAAACCAACTCGCAAACCAATTCGAATCGACATACACGATCGAGAGATCAGCGCCATAAAGCACATGCAGTTTTTTTCATCCGGAGATCATTTGTAATTGTTTTAATAAATTAAAAACTCGTTTCATAAATATCTTTATTATTTACTACATAAATAGGAAATTAAAGAATAAGCATTTTCGTCTCGTCGTCACTTGCGAGTACGAATACTATCTAGCGGCAGACAGCTGAAGACTTCCGTTAAAAGCTTATTGCAATTTAAAACACCATCTTATTGTGTGCTTGCTTTCTTGTGCCATTTCTTACTTTCTTAGTGTCTGGTGTCTATTTATGGAGGTTAACGGGATCCGAAGCACGGTTGCACCGCTGGCCGACCGTAGATAGTTGGGCGACCAATGAATGAGCCAGCCGCTCATGAAAGGCTGCCCCGCCATCTTATGAAAAATCCTGGGAGGCTCCACCATGCCGGTTGGCGAGCGAAGGAGAGAACGTGGTTGCGATTTCCAGGGTGGTTCGGGCGTCCCCGCGATCTCCATGCTAGGTAACATCGATGCTATCTCTGTTTGCGTCCCTAGGTTATATGCGTGATGCTTCGTCCCAACTGCTATCCTCTTAACCTATTCACTCACCATTTATGAAAAAAAAGGAAAAAGAAGAGTAAGTTTGTACAGAAGTTGCACTCCCTCTCCTTCAAAGTGCACCTCACAAACATCCGAGGCCTGCACTGTAATATCAATGCAGTCCATTAGCACCTTGAGACTGACAAGCCGCACTTACTCTTCTTGACTGAGACGCAGATCAGATATCATTTAAATGCGGCGTACCTTGGCTAACCTGGGTTCACATTGGAGCATAATTTCCATCAGCGCGCCGGAGTCTGTGTTTACATCCGCAACGACATCTGCTGTAAGCGTCTTCGTCACCTTGAAGACCTCGCTTCCTCTACGATGTGGGTATTGATAGACACAGGATGAATAAATTTATTTATTCTTGTGTATACCGATCACACAGCGGTGACCAGGAGACAACTAGGCTATTTGAACACCTCAGTAAAGCCTCTGATGTGGCTCTAAATCGGTACTCTATTGCACAATTGGCTTTTCTGGGGGACTTTAATGCCTGTCATCAGGACTGGCTTTTCCCATACCATAAAACAGACCACGCTGGGAGAGAGGCGTGGAATTTTGTCTTGTCGCTGGGGTTCTCCCAGCTGGTACACCAAACGACTAGGGTACCTGATGGGGATGGGCACGTCCGATTCAGACAGGTACGATGTTTAGCTTACCTTACCCTAGGGAACTTCTAACCATTGTCTGGTGAAATTTGTGTCATTATATTTCCCACCTAACTACGATTTCCACGGTGTGCGGCGGGTGTGGCGATATAAATCGGCAGATTGGGATGAGATGCGGCATTTCTTTGCATCTTATCCTTGGCGGCAGGTCTGCTTCTTGTCTGAAGATTCGTCGGGCTGCGCGGATGCCATAACCGATCTGATACGTTAAGCGATGGTGTATTTCATCCCCTTTGCTGACGTGCCTATTGGTGGTAAAGCTCGCCCATGGTTCAACGCCGAGTGCGCTCGTGCTGAAAAGCATAAGCATATGCATACTTATCCGGGGTCGATACTCGAGAATTCCAACAAATGTCTACCCGAGTCGAGGCGCAGCCGAAGGTGAGGGTTGACAGTCGGAACAAGTTGAAATGACGGTTCCACACGTGTAGTGAACAACTATTTTTAATACAGTTGCGATAAAATGAAGCAATTTAATAAAGAACATTTTTGGAAAATGGCGCCAACCGTAAAAGAATATAAGCAGAGATTTTTTTGTTTTCTTCACCCATTCTGGGTAGGCAAAGGGAACTATGCCCATACAGCCAAGTCTTCAGTAGAATTTTTTTGATATGAAATGAAAATGAAATTTAATGAGATGAAATGAAATGAAACCTAACCTAACTCATTGAATGAAATCTGATATTGAAACAAATTAGTAGCTTCTTTTTAGAAATATTTGCATGAATCATAAAAACTTCTATGATTTTTTTTTCAATAAAAACTTCGTGGTTGGTTTTTTCTTTTTAATGGACATTATTTTGACAGTTGGGAAAGAGAACGCACGAGTTCGGAAAAGGTAAAGAAAAAGCACGAGTATGTAATAGCCCACATCCCGAACGCTATGCGTCCCTGCAATACGCCACTTTTTGAGCAACTGTATTAATAATATTTTGGATATGTACGTGCAGTTCAGTTTCACAACATGAGTGCAAAGTAGTATTATATAGCGTGTGTGTAAGTGCGAGGCGCCTCAGTTGCCGCACCAAGCGTTACGCCACTACTAGGCAATGTACGTTAGTTCATACTACAAATTATACAATTGGTAAAATTGGAATGGAATTATTAAGAATAACTCAAAAACTATTGGTCAAACCTTGATTAAATTTATATGGGACCACATGAGAAGCATCAGCTTTTATATAAAAAAAGAATCATCGGAATCGGTACACGCAGAAAAAAGCTTCTGAGTACCAAGTTGGAATGCCTATAGCATGTTTTATTGCTCTTTAACCATTTAGACTGGAATACAGCAGGGGACGCACTGCTGCTTGGCGGCTGAGGGTTACAAGAGCTCGAGCGTGAAAACTGACAAAGGGCCACGTTACGCCGATGAAATATTAATTGTAAAATTTAAATTAAAAAATGCTACTTAGCATTGCAGATACGCATGCAAATGGAATTGCAAATAAAACACAAAAATCGAGCATTGAAATTATATAATACAAAAACTTAACCAAACATTTCTGTAAATGTATATAACATCCTAATACTTACATAACTTAATATTACGTATATGATAAAATAACTTAATACCAACAATTAGAGGGATTAAACGAACTACTCGTACTTTTCGTGAACAGTTGGCGAGTTTTTTTTTTATGGTTTGATATTGTAAGATTTGGTACCAAATTGGATTTGTGTTAGAATTAAACTAATTTGATGTTTAGACTTAGACCGGCTACATAGATACGGTATTCCGTTTCGGAATTCCGAATGGGTCGGCCACATATATTCGGAGTCCCGTTTTACTTGCAAAATTTCGAACGAAAAACTACTGTACGTGTGTGATAGGGCCTTGTTTTTATATGGATTTGCTGTGTTCGGATTTCCGAATGTATGTGGCGAACCTTACTAATCGATAAGTTTTCAATTTAATACTGTCATTTCTGCCATTGACAATAATAAATGATTATACAATTATTATTTCTCCGCAACTGAACGTAGTTTAAATAAAAAGCTACGTCCGATTAGGATTGCATTGGACAGTGAAACAGTTTGTATAAGGTTGTTAGGTCAGATGGCGGGCAGCTGGCGGCGCTCGGCGGGCGTGAGGTGCGGGTGCCAGACGTCCACGATGAGCACGAGCCGCGTGCCCGTGCCGTTGTGCCACACCTCGTGCTCGAAGCTGTCGTCGAACACCAGCACTTTGCCCGTCTGCCACTGCCTGGAATACAATGTTATTGCAATTTTACGATAGTCATTTGTAGAGTACACCATACACCTGAGGCTGCGCGGATACTAGGCCTACACAGAGGACTAAGCGGTTTATACGTGGTAGAGCCATGCTGCAGCTCTATATGGTTGTCGCACGAATGAGTCGACTCGACCGTGGAAAGGCCACGCTCTCACAGAATACCAGCGTGATATAGCAGCGCAATGTTGCTGCGTTTCGTATAGTTAGTGTAGAGAACCGGAGACCCTTTCATCAATCTACGCTGATGATTCACGTAGTTTAGCTGTAATTTGTGATTTCAGTGACGGGTATTCTATCTTGAAAAGCGAAGTTGCGAAGACTCTAAGAAAAGCTAATACTGCAAAATAAGCTGGCCCAGGTGATGTTCACATTAATTTGATGATTGATGATGCCCTCGTTAATATTTAACGCTATATATGATTCAGGCCACTTACCCAAAGACTGGTTAACATCAATCTTTCTTTACTCCCTAAGAAAGCCAACGCCAAAAGGTGCGAAGAATTCCAAACAATTAGCCTTATGAGTCAAGCATTGAAACTATTTCTACATATCATTCACGAATGCATAATAGCAAAATATGACGAACAACTCGCAGATAGCCAGTTCGATCGAGTGTAGAATGACCGCCTTATTGCAATATTACAAAATGTCGGCTTAGATGGTGAGGATATACGTATCATCCATAATCTGTATTGGAATCAACTAGCTTCTGTTTGGATAATAATTAAGAGACGGCGCATATACAAATTAAAAGGGGAGTTCAACAGGGCTGCATACTGTCACCTACGCGTACTTGTACTCAGAAACTATAATAGCAGAAGCAGTCGAGAAGCTAAACTGTGGCGTCAAAATAAATGGCCGGAATATAAATAATATTAGATATGCAGACGATACAGTCCTCATAGCATCATCAGCTGAAGATATACCGAGAATTGTCACCCGAGTAAATGAGTGCATGAAAGAGCTGGTCTTAGGATGAACATTTCGAAGACGATGCTCATGATAATTTCTAAGAATAGTTTTGACGACTTTGACATCACAGTAGTAGGCCAAAAACTAGAAAGAGTGCGCAAATATAAATATTTAGGTACGTGGTTAAACTAGACCTGGAGCAGCAACCAAGAAATTAAGACGCGAATTGAAATGGCTCTAAATACCTTTAGCAAAATGAAAAAAGTACTCTGCAACCGCAAACTTAAGATCTCTTTGCGCACTCGACTACTACGATGTTACATCTGGCACATACTTTTATACAGATGTGAGGTGTGGACAGTTAAAGAGGACCTACGAAAACGTATAGAAGCCTTCGAGATGTGGGCACACAGACTTATGTTGGTCATTAGCTGGAATCACAAAATAACGAATGAGAAAGTTCTGCGACGAGTCGACCACAAGCGCGAACTCCTAAAACTAAGAAACTAATCGGCCAAAAGCGCGAACTCCTAAAACTAGGAAACTAAACTAAAGAGGTACGAACTCCTAAAACTCATTATGATGGGAAAAGTTGACAGAAAAAGAGGCGTCGGTCGCAGAAAAAAGTCATGGCTATGTAACATCCGGGAGTGAAAAGGAATCGCGAGTGTCGCCGAACCGTTACGCCTCGAGAAGAATAGAGCGGAGTTCACTAAGCTGACGCTGAGTTGGCTGAACATAACACCTAAACATTTCCAGTAATATTCGATAGAGAGATGTCGCGAAAATCGATAAAAATATTCATTCATTACAGCTTCTCACAAGACCACTTCTGAACATAGGCCTTTCCATAATAGATTGCCTTCCATTGTATAGTTCATTGATGCATGCTTTGCAGACGAGTCAGCAACCATAGTTTTTTTTTAAATTAATTTAAGTTGGTATCAGGAAGATGCTCCTGCCCATTTCCTGTTTCATTACCCTCTGTCGTCTCTTACAACACCCACGCGACGATATCAGGTTTTTTTTTAATAGGATGGAGTGACAAACGAGCACACAGTCCACATGATGGTAAGTGGTTGCTGTGACTCATAAACATCTACATCTATCCTCAATAAAGTATCAAAATGCAGATGTGTTGTCACCCGTGAGGACTAAGATGTCGAATTCAGTGTTTGTCAAAATATAATATGGATAACGAAGTTCTTTTCCAGTAAAAAAGGGTTTCTTTTTCTACTGTATGAAACACAGCAGTGAGAGCGTGGTCCTTCACCGGTCGAGCCGACCCATTCGTGCTACAACTAAACTACTAATATAGCTGCAGCATGGCTGTACCATGTACAAATGGCTATACTTACACCGCCACTACACAGTACACTCGCTTCTATAAAAAAATAAACTTATGTTCAAATTTCTCTACCTATTAAATGGTAACGATTTAAGTATTAAAAAGCAAAACTAAAGTTATTTGTTACTCATATAATGTTATAAAAATACCTGGTTTCCTGGTCCACACGTATATAAGTGTCTTTGGTATTGCTTAATCCTAAATGCATTCGCAGCCTGCAATTGGTGGGGCCCACGTGTGGCCGGACATGCGTTCCGGGCTCCATAGAACTAAACTTTATTTGTCCTCGTCTGCAATTAGCCGCTGCAGGTTCCGTTTTAACTATCGAGCAAGTAACAGGCGCTCTTTTACAACGTCCGGGTATCTCTTGACCCCTCACAAATAAATCTAATTGGGACCACTCCCCCTTTTCTTTTAATCCTTCCTTCTCTTTCTCATACAGAGCTCGCGCTGCTTCTCCCTCTTTTAATATATTTTTCCATGACTTTTCTAACGCTCGAGCTAATTTCACGTAAGGTGTTTCATCTACGCGCCACCATGGTCGACTTTTTAGCCTCTCCACGTTGTATAAAGAACGCTGTACAGGAGATAGAAAATGCCCGTGCTTAGCGCCACGTTTGTGTACCTCATGGGCTTCTTCAAATCGGCCCAGTAAAAGCAGGGCATCGCCCAAATGATAGTAGAAACGAGGTTCACATGCCGGCCCCGTATCGTTTTCTAATGCTTTATGGAATAACGTAACGGCTTCTTCGAGCTTATTGTAATGAGTTTTCAAGACGAATCCATAATGCGCCAGTGCAACACGATCGTTAGGCCATATTTTCAATGTTTCTTTTAATACACTTTCAGCTAAGTCGGCTCTGAAATACATTAGAAAAGTCACATATTTACATCTCTAAGTTTTACCGATATATTAGGTTGGTGCATAAATATTTGGACACTTATAAATAATAACGAAGAGTCAAAGCCTTTCTTTTTGACATACTCGATTGCGAATGAAGAAGTATATTCCCCATATCCATTACTAGAAGAGCACAGTGGACAACAGTAAATTACCCACTGTATAATAGTTCTTAAAGCTTTATCTGATGAAAGCGTTTGAAAAGTATTACTAACTGAAAAACGTCATCGCAAATTTTTTTTTAATGCCAGCCTCTTTTTTTTAGGGAAAATATATGTTTTTGCTAAGCATTGGACACCATGTTATTGATTATTAAAGTGTTCTAATGTCCAACAACCTATGAACCAATCTAATATTATTATGAGGCTGCTGGAAATAATATACTTGTTTTAAATTAAATATACTTCCTTACCTATTGGCCATAAGGAAGGATATAGTTAAATTGTTCCTATAAGAAACCTCATTTGGAAACCGGCGAATCAACAGTCGGTAGACAGGCTCAGCGCTTAGGTAAGTTCCTAGAAATAAATAAATAAAAAATTACTCTAGTAAGAAAGAGTCTACCTAGATTTTGGTCTGGGTTAATCAAGAATTTCTGTAGGTAAATATTTCAACGTTCAATATAAATGTGCATTCATTACATTGAATACTAAGTAACAAGTTTTAATAGGCAATTAATTAACCTATGTACTTTATGAAAGGCAAGAACACCTCCAAGGGACACCTTGTTTTAATAAATTTAACTGTGAGAAATGAGCGCCAAAGTACATCTGATGGTTAGTGGATGCCGTGGTGAATACACACCAACATATATCTTCGAATAAGAATCAAGATACAGATGCGTTGTCACTCCTGAGGAATAAAAGGAATGCCTGCCTGTTACCAGTAAGAAGGTCCGCGGTTCTTTACACTCACTACACTAAACTAAGCAGAATTATGCGGCTATTTCATGCTTGTATTCTGTGAAAGCGCGGTACTTCTCCGGTTGAGCTGACCGCAGTCGCAGCGTGGCCCTATCAAAGTAGCTAATGGCGATGATGTGCTAGTATAAGTCGAAAAAGTAAAGTCCATCGCCTGACATTGGTCTTTTTTATAGTAACTCCCTGTTTAAAATAAGTTTATCACTTGTTTTACACTGCTGTGGTTGGGTAATTGACATTTGGTGAAGCTGTATCAGATGTTTATATTGACATCTATCAAGAATTCCCAAGAGATCTCGTGGCTAAGATTTCATTTCCCCTCAAGGATTTTTACGACGCTCATGAAACAAGATAGGATCACAGATTATTTTGCACGAAATTTTATGTGTTTAACGAGGAATTGGAATTCTTTGCCTGCATCTGTCTTCACTTATTATTACAATTTGGGACTTTTCAAGGTAAGATTTACTCTTGCTAGTAAAGTGTCATTACTTTGTACTATCAAGAGTAAAGTGCAGCCTATATAAGCCCCACAGCTGGGCACAGGTCTATTAGTCCACCGCATTGCTCCGGTGCGTGTTGACAAACATCACATGACTTCTAAATATTTTATTCCAATACATGCAAGTTTTCTCACGATATTTTACTTAGAGTACTTAAAATTGTAATTAACATGTTTATTGGCGCTGGCGGGATCGTAGAGACAAGGAGCCAACTGACAAATTTCAACCTTGAACCGAGTGCGCGCGCTTCTATTGGTTCGCAGAGAGACAAAGAGTGAATAAGTGGATGTTGATTCATATTGTTGGTGTAGACGGCTCCTTTTTGAGATTGTAGGTTAATATTTTTTAAGGAGGAACATGGAGAAACGGTGACTGTTTTCATTCAAATTATAGAGAATTCAGAATTTTATATTATTATGTTGGAAAACCTTGTTCAACCTTGCTTAAGAACCTTTGGCAATGACTCAGAGGTCCATTATTTTCAACCAAACGGTGTACCTAACGGATCATATCGCGAGAAACAGCATGGCCGTTGTTCGTGAAATGTTTGGAAGTATTGTGTATATATTGTTGTATCTTTTGTTTTCAAGGCAACACTTTGCACACTGGGTGATAATGTTTCTACAGCTTATACTTGTATCATTTCGTTGTGTTTGTTCTGTTGTATGTATGTATACAATGATGAAACGTGGGGTATTTCGGGGTTAAGGGTTCGCTTTTAAATTTTACGCGAGTATATTGCCACTGTCACCAACGATATTGATAATTATTGAAAAAAATTATATAAGTGATGTATCTATAAAATCGCCAAATATGATAATAGGTTTAAACCTATTTAAAAAGTTTTTTTTTTTATAAAGATTTGATTATAGATTTGATTTACAAAAAACCGAACTGTTATCGCTTAATATTTAAGACCTTCGTTTTTCAAATAACGTATTTGAAACTTTAAGACCTTTAGGTACTAGATAAAATTAACTTTAATACCTCTAAACTGTATTCTGTCCAATGCTCTAGCGGCAACTTCGAGAAGTTTGGTATCGGAGAGTTGTTCGTTCATCTTGAGCAGGTGCAGATAGGCAGAGACGGCGCGTGTGAGCAGTGCGTTGTCGCGGCGCGCCTCGGCCTGTGCGTCGAGCGCGCGCGCCGCCAGCCAGCGCGCGCGCCCGCTGCCGCCCAGCGCGCCGCCCGCCAGCCGCCCGTTAGCCGCCGCCCACTCGCCCTCCGCACGTTAGTACACAGTCACACGCAACATTCACACAAGTCGCAGTCGCATACCAGGTAAATGGACGCAGTTAGGCACTCAGTGTTGTTGCTTTTGACTACAACATTGTTAGGAGCAAATTAAGTTTTCAAAAAACTCTATGTTTTTTTTTTAGATGAATTCGTAAGTTTTAGCGTTAAATTAATATTGTCAATGAAATGCGTTTTGCTTTACTCGACACCGTGTGTATGTATAATAATTACTGTTTTAATTATAATGCATACTTAAATATGCATACATTTATTAAATTTATTATTAATTATTACATAGTTTATTAAAATAGATACATTAATCCGTTGTCGTGAGAATATCCCGATCTTCCGTAGAAAATTTATTAAAAAAATTCAAACTTTTTAAATCATATCTAAAAGAGTCTTATAATAACAAAACTTAAATAATGCATATCGTATGTAAAAAACTTAAACAGACAATAAAACGTACAATTTTAAATAAGAATTGATCGTCTTTGTGTCTAGCTACGTCCACGTAAAAAAAGTCACTCGAGCATTCAACGAGCGAAACTGCGTATATATGCAATATTATAATGAGTATCGATGGGGTCGTGTCGGGGAGGAATTGTGCGGGGTGCTGGCACAAAACCTGACCCGTCCACGACGCCTACGAGAATAAGGGCAAAAATGGCACAACGAGCAAAGGATATATGGTAAGGGGATATTTTATGTGCGAAAAAACTAAGTGTTAGTCCAGCCAATCCTGGAATCGAATATTTGATATAATTTATTAATTTTTATAGATATTCAACAGTTTCCTATTATTACATTCTGAAAAAACCATCGTATTAGCAAAATAAAGTCACTTAGATAAATGTATGTTAAAAGTTAACCCGACGATATATGTATGTATTCTTATTATAATGTTTTAGTAGGTACGTTATAAATAAAGCCAAAGCCTTAAAAACCATGCAATGTTACAAAACAAACAAAACAAACTCTACTTATAAACAATGTTCATCTTTCAATTTATTCTTTTTCTACCTTGTCAGCGGTCTAAAGTTCACAGCTGGACATGAAGTTTATTAAATACTAGCTGACCCGGCAAACGTTATTCTGCCCTTTCTGGTTGGTAGCGCGATGAGTTTATTTTCACACACACACACACTTTTCTATAGATCTATCATACGTATAACTAAATACTCTTTAGGACTAATGGAATCATCAGCAGCCATAATGACAATAAACTAAAAATAAAGGCAAACACACAACCTCTTTCGTTTACTCGTCCGTAATCGGATAAAAAGTTGCCTATGTTATATTCGGTCATTTACTGTCTAGATACAAAATTTCATGGAATCTGTCCAGTACTTTTTGCGTGAATCGTGAACACACAATTTTTCTACAGATTTATTATATGTATAGATTATATGTTATTTTTAAGTTTTATTCTATTATACGTTTAAAGATCTAAATGATTAGTAAACAAAAGAAATTAAGTAAGAATACATACATAAATTGTCAGAGTAAAGAACATTGTCTTTATTATAATAATAAAAAAACATTAGGTCTCAAAGCCTCGCAGACTTCCTTCCATCAGATCTTACTTTAAAGTTCCCAACCTCACCTGGAGCACTGCTCCCTTTAGCAGAAAAAAATATACCAACGCTCTAGACCATAATTATTATTATTATGAAATACTAGCTGATACCCGGCGTGTGCTATCACGCTAAAAAAGAAATACAATTTTTTTATTTATTTACTTTTTATATACTGCGTAATGCATTATTTTAGTGGTCCAAAACTATCTTCGCATTATTGCCTTTCTAATGAAACCGATTTGGGGCACATAGTTGGATGGTTTCAAAGTCTATTCATAGTCTAGACATAGGTAGAAACTTTTTTTGTGATTTAGATAGAGATAGTTTAGATTTTGAAATATCGTTGCATATTTATTTATTCTTCATTACATTACAGCCAAACAAAAATTCACTACTGAACATACTAGACAATCTAATGGAATTTGCCGGAGTTGCCACGCTTAGCAGACAGGTCGATAACAGCAGTTGTTGAGTTATTATCAGGAAATTGCTGCTACTCATCTCCTGTTTCATTTCGCTCTGTCACTCTCTCTCTCTCTGTCTCTCTCTCTGGATTCTCTTATGTCACCACTACATAGATTGACATATCTAGATAAAATATGTCTATGATATAGAGGCTAGTACCATCTACATGCAAGTGCTCTGTTTTAGCCTAACAAAGGGCTACCTACATTGTCTGATATCTTTTTGATTGCCTATCTTCTTTGAAATTAACATAACTGAAAATTTGAACAAGATGGCAGATTGATGTATGGGCTGTAGTGCCCAAGAAAACATTTCCACGAGGCCATACATCTATACAATATGTTGAATTGACGCGAATGCCATGCCACACCTGGGCAAAAAAATGTATACTAAGATACAGTAACTTAATAGGATTAATACCTGGCGGATTTCTTGTTCAGCATAGTCAAGTTGCTGACGCCAGTACGGATCGCTGGGTTCGCCTGGCCACTCGTCTTCAGCGCTGTTTCCGCCATCCTCTGAAATATAAGCATAATTTTTTTTATAAAAGTCGTAAAATTACAATCTGTAACAATTAATAATGTATACAATTAGCCGAATCTATTAATTTATTTTATCTTGAACGAGTACACTAAGAGAAAAGTCAGAAGATCTCGTGACCTGTTTTGTTATTCAATATTTTTTTTATAGGAGAGGTAGCAAACGAGCATGCGGCTCACCTGATGGTGACTACCGCCGCCCATGAACAACTGCAATATATATAAACATGAAGTATAACCAGATAGGCGGTACGAATTAGTGACGAAAGTGGGAGATATCGGTATTTTTTTCGCCAATATGCCTGTTAAGCATAGTGAATAAGTTCGGCTGCGAGTTAACTTTACTTAACGATAAATTAATGATATATACAGACATTATAATATCAACAACAACAAATAGGTATCTAATTCTTTAGAGGGTGGTATACAAAAAAAATGTGTTTATGAAAAAATTATGGCCTAAATATGGAAAAAAATAATGCCCGATAAACTTATGGCCAAATACTCCAATGTTACTCAATTTTAAGAAGTCGTCAAGTCTCATGGTGTCACAGTCACTTTGACTTAAAGTGATATAGATAGCACGAGACTTATTTGGTCATTAATGACACAAACATAATTATAGCAAATTTTTATCACCCTGAAAAATGTATTCAAAGTTAATATCACTCACATTTTTGTTAGTCATGCCAACTATGATTGTTAATGGTTAAGGCCGAGTTCATGCCTGCAGCAATGGCTTTATAAGGAAGCGTTTACACACAAACGTGTAGTGTTTACTATGTTTTAATTCAGGTCTGTCAGGTTCAGGCAAGCGTCCGTATTTAGCTTCGAGGCGACTCAGTAATTCAGCATCATCGACATCTGAAATATCTTCTTCGTCTTCAACCTCTTCTTCAATTTCCTCTTCAATCTGCTCGTCGTCTATTATTTCTACGTCGTCCGGAACTTCCTCGGTTTCCGATTCCTCCTGATCTTTATCATCATATAGACTACTTTCTTTTGGATATTCCTTCTTCTCTTCTATTATCTCTTCATCGTCAACCTCTTCATCATCATCATCACTATACAATTCTTTGTCTAAAACGTCGTTTGATGCCTCTTCTGTAATAACTTCCTGTACATTATAGAAAATAAACAAGGTAAATAATTTTACGAATACTTCTATATATACAAATATAACTACCAATTTTACTTACTTCAGTCTCAAATTTCTTTGAGACTTCTTGATCTTCTTCACTTTCTTGTTTTTGGATTGGAACTGATTGAACAATTTTTGTATCTGAAGTAATCTTTTTGACTTGTTCTTCATGTGGAGGCTCATAATGTGGTTGCTGTGGTATTGATTCATTTGTGTGAATGAGAGTCATTCGTCTGTCAATTACAGGTGGAGTTTCCTCTTGTCTTGCATTCGCTTCATTTTCTGCAGTATCTGTTTGTAGGAATGAATAGTATGACTACTAATTTACACGAATGCTATCCACAAGGGGCATCGTGTCGATAAACGTTTACAAGAATATTACAGTTTATACAATTAATTGATTTCTTTGTCTTAGGAAAAGTAAAATCATAGCTTAAAAATGCAAGTAAGGTCATTTTACTTAAAGATTTTGGTTTAATTATACATGTAGCTTGTTACTATTTAGTGTTATGGTATCATCCAGCAACATTTTATTTTTGTTTACGTAAATCAAGTTTAGAGATAGAAATGTTGCTGTGAATACGCACCGCGTGGCGCCGTCGAGCGACGTATAACGGCGTGTGTGGCCACCAGCAGCGCGCCACCCACCACCAACTTCAGCCATACTGCAACACACGCGTTACCCTTAGATCATGTTACTAAATAATAACAGGCTGATTGTTTCTCATGCTGGCTCCGCAAAGACTGGTTTTGTATCAGAAACAAAAAAGATCTTCGAGGCTGTTAAGTTTAGTAATGCTGACTACCATACTGAAATGGGTGATCAGACAAACATTAAATGGTTTACTGCCCTTTTTTAATCACCTAGAAGAACCATCAGCCTTTGTGATCGATAAGGCCAGTTACAAAATTATGCAAATGGATCGAATAGTATATTATCTCGAATATATAATATATTATCAACTTATGTGTGTGGAATATATTCCACAAATAAAATTGACATCCAGGCATGGTAGACGAAAAACTAAGTCAGATTGAAATAATGAGATAAAAAAAATATTTTTTAAGAAGAATTAAAGAAAGTAAGGGTGGCAGCAACTAAATAACGTGTTATACTAGAGTAACTAACCCTCGAAATAATTTTACTCTTTGATCTTACTCTCCGATAACTTCGTTTGCGTTTTTCCAACATAAGCGTAAAATAGCCCATACTGGGTATTGTTACTCTGCAGTTGGTAAAAGAATAATCAATGAACATGTAATGCCTACTAAAATCGAAATACAAATTTTTATATAGCATAACGCAATATTTTACGTCCAAATAATTTGCCGGATTATAATAGTGGCAACTGTCATTGAACATTATATATTCACACGAATTTTCAGTTGAGTAAGGTTATCTTTTCAAGTTGTATTGCATGTTGTGGTACTTCTTGTAAATAAATAAAATGTCAAAAGAAAGAGGGAAACGTTAGTACTGTTATGCAGTAGTACTACTACTACTACTGCATACGAAAACAGCTGTTAAAATGTAGCAGCCACCATTAAAATAATCTGGGATTTGGTGAACCAAAATTGCTCTAGATCTATAGTATTTAATGATTTTCTTGGCAGGATAAGACGTATAAAATTTTGGTCGGATCCGCCCTTAGTTCAGAAAAAAATATCTATGCAGTCATTCAATGATATGACTGCCGCCGTATCACTGTTAATATGACTTAATTGAGCTCATATGGAGTCAGATAAAAAGAGAAATCGCTATAATCACATATTTAAGATAGCCGACGTTGAAGTTCTCCTTTATAAAGAAATCGACAATGTTACCAAAGAGAACTGGTTTAAATGTTTAAGCATACTGAAGAGCTTAAGGAAATTGACTTGAAGAAGAAACATTTAATGAGATTGAGTAAGACCGTTAATAATATTTTTTTAGAAAGAACAGTGACACGGATAATTCAGATAATGAAGATTCAAAATTAAATACAAAACCTCTCCTCACCGGTCACAGAATACATGTACCCTGACGGGAAGAACGAAAACTTCATACAATAAAAATGCCAACAGCTTGCGACACTAACGCGTCAGTTTTTGATCCCTGAACTAACAGATGTGAATGTATGCGTCTGTATATGTATAATGCGCATTGCCCACCCCCACATTCAATATTCTATTTTTAATCATAATATATTACTATTTCCATTCCAATTTTCTACGAATGTAGAAATTACATTCTACATTAGTAAAAAATTGGAATGGAAATAGTAATAAATGAATAACTTATTGGAAATTTTAAATATTTAATAACACAAACCTTAAGAGGAAGATTAAAGTTAACAATTAGCTAAGTAGAAAATTGGAATGGAACACGGTTAATAGTTTTTCAGAAATAAAACAATTATTTTCATAGAGATTTAAATATATTATTGACTAGTAATATTATAGCCACAGAATAAACTTGGGCACTAAATTTTAGATGATTATAGACGCATCTTAGTCACCGGTCGTCCAGAGGTGTAGGCAGATACTATGTATACTATACTTACATTCACCACAAGTCTAACTCATCTGTCTCACTTCTTTCACATCTATATAATTATGTAAGCATAAAAGCTCATCGGTAAAGGTTACTCTTAATTCGGTACATCTTCAAATTAACTCGATAACCTGCCGTCTAGGGCGTCCCTTGCTGACTCCACACACTTCTCCAGCATAAATTTGGTTTGTCCATATTCATTATTTCTATGTGTCCAAACCCATAGAGCAACACGAGCCACCGGCGAACCGGAGGAGAGTAGCAATAGCGTTTTGTCCAGATACAGAGTTCTGTATCTGGAAAAAATGCTATTGCTACTCTCTGTTTGTCATCGGTCGCTCGACCGATCTGCATATTGTATGAGAGCGGGCGGCCTGTGTAGGTAGACAAATCCGAAACAACACGACACCTTTTTTTTTCTTTTTGTAAATTTGACATGGTAAATCTCTTTTTGCAGAAAATACCTGAACTATTAAGCATTTTTGTAGGACTTCGGCTCAACTAGATTTAGTGAAATGAGCAGTGCGGCAGCAACTACTTTTATTGATATTTTAAGTGGTAGAAGCTAAGCTGCAGCTATATTGGTTGAAGCACAAATGGGTCGGCTCGACCGGGGTAGGACCACACACTCACAGAACACCCTCATAAAATAGCAGCTTAATGCTGCTGTATTTTGTATGGTGAGTGTAGAGAACCGGAAACCCTTTTTACTGGAAACGAGGCATTCCATCTTAGTCCTCAGGAGTGACAACACATCTGCATTTTGATTTTTAATCGAGGATAATGTAGATGTCTATGGACCACTAGCATTTACCTAGTACACATAGCACCGTACAGTCAGAGGGGAACACCAGCGTAAGACCACTCTCCTCCGATCCGCCGGAAGCCCGTGTTACTCTATGGTCCAACCCACCGAAGCATTCCCTTCTTAATCCTGGTCACATCATATTCTTGCAAATCACACTTTTTTCTTATCACACAATTTCGCAATGTATCACTCAAGAGTTATCCCTAACATACTTTCTAATGATTGCATTTTATAGCATTCATTTTACTCTTGGTTCTTCTGCCACACCCTACTTTCACTCATTTCATTCAATGTGAATTGCCATACATGCTTTTTTTTACAAATTTGGACTTCCCAGAAAGCCTATTAAAGTCCCCTGTTGAACATAGATTTCTCCATAGATTGCCTCATAATGGGGATATTTGCCATAGTTGCCACGCTTGGCAAGCGGGTTGGCAACCGCACTTTTTTATTTTTACTAGTCATTATTAGTTATGTTATGTTGCAAACTAGTAACATTCATTGCTATGTAGACTACAGCACTGGTGATGGCTTATATACCGGCCGTGCCAATATTTCTCGGGAAAACGTCGCCGAGTACCCGGACAAACTTGTGTCTGAAGTCGAGTCTTTACTGAACAAAGTCTCGGATTGGGGGCGACTAAATCTAGTCCAGTTCAATCCCCAGAAGACACAAGTTTGCGCGTTTACCGCTAAAAAAATCCCTTTGTCGTATCTCCTCAGTTTCAAGGCACTCCCCTTGTTGCCTCAGCTAGCATCGGAATCCTCGGCGTCGACATATCGAATAGTGTGCAGTTTCGTGGTCACTTGGAAGGAAAGGCCAAACTGGCCCCTAAAAATCTTGGCGTGCTCAACAGAGCGAGACAGTATTTCATACCGGCATATCGCTTGCAACTTTACAAAGCGCAAATGCGGCCTCACATGGAATACTGTTCTCATCTCTGGGCCGGGGCACCCCAGTGCCAGCTCCTTCCACTTGGCCGCATCCAACGCAGAGCGGTTCGAATCGTCGACGACGGAGTTCTTTCTGATCGGCTCGATACACTGTCACTGCGTAGAGATGTTGCATCTCTTTGCGTATTTTATCGCATTTAATTTAATTTAATTTATTCACAAATTGCGTTACATTTACCACGGGGAGTGCTCTGAGGAATTGTTCGGACTAATTCCAGCCGCTCAATTTCACCATCGCACATCGCGACAATACTTGCGATACCATCCATACCACCTGGATGATTGGCGGTCCACCACTGTGCGATTTAGAAGATGTTTTCTTCCTCGCACAACTTCCTTGTGGAATCGATTACCACCAGCGATTTTTCCGGACCGATACGACTTTGGGACAAAACAAACTAACACAAACTAACAAACAAACTTCAAACAAAGAGCCTACTCCTTTTTAAAAGGCCGGCAACGCATCTGCAATTCCCCTGGTGTTGCGGTTGTTCATGGGCGGCGGTAGACACTTACCATCAGGTGAGCCGCATGCTCGTTTGCCCCCTCTCCTATAAAAAAAAGGAAGACGCTACTGCCCATCTTCTGATTTGTTTCCCTCTGTCGCCTCTTATTACACCCACGGGATAATAAGGGGTAATGCGATTAGATACCGCCCTAGTTCTAACCGTAAATATGTCATCTAGCGATCCGCCGACGTTACTACGATGGCTCGGCGGGCAGCTTCCGGGAAACCAAAGATTTTGGACTCCGGGGGGAGTATGGTTGCAAAGCTGAAACTTAAAGGAATTGACGGAAGGGCACCACCAGGAGTGGAGCCTGCGGCTTAATTTGACTCAACACGGGAAATCTCACCAGGCCCGGACACCGGAAGGATTGACAGATTAACAGCTCTTTCTTGATTCGGTGGGTGGCGGTGCATGGCCGTTCTTAGTTGGTGGAGCGATTTGTCTGGTTAATTCCGGTAACCACGAGACTCTAGCCTGCTAAATAGGCGTCGTCATTTATGTGGGGGATATAATATAAAATAATTTTCCTACTAATTAAAAAACAATGATACAATTTATCGATATGAGTGTATATCTCTATTCTGCACATCGATTGTACTTGGTAATAACTCTACCTGCAGCTATATTATGGTTGTAGCACGATTGGGTCGGCTCGACCAGGGAAGGACCACGGTCTCACAGAATATCAGCGTAAAATAGTAGCTTATACTTAAGAAAAACTGTTTTGACATTTTACACAAATTATTCCGCAGTAACTTTGTACAAGCGTACTCATACAATTTAAAATAACCTTTTACGTAAATACAAAGAATTATGAAGTTACCTATATTGCATTACAACACGTATAGTTCTTTATTACTAATTTAAATAAAAATCTTTCAAACAAAGTAAAATATATAAAAAATAAATAAACGGAATCAACTTTTTAGATAGACGTTGTTTTCAATGATATTTCGTTATGTACCTACCTTACCGCAGTGTTTGGATGATTCGAATTTATGCAAATGCGAATAATCGGTAAAAATATTCAAATAATCAAACCTTTACATTTTTAATTTATCATTTGTTTAATTAAGTTATATTTTATATGAATTACGAATTAAACACGTATTTTTTTATAATTTCTGTGAATCCTACTGCGGCGAATTTGCGAGTAAGTTTAGAAGATGTTGGCTTGTACAATGACAGTAGAGTTATTAAGAACCATCTGAAGAAAAATTGGCTGCCGATACAAAAACAAATTGACAAACGCAAAATAATTATTTAGAGACGTGAAATGCAAAGAATAACATTTATACGAGAAATTAAAAATATCACCAATTGGGACACCGTTGTATTCATGGATGGCATTGGCTAAACGCCAACCACACTGTGCCGCAGACATGGGCAGATGACACGTGCCCGTGGGGAAAGGTGCGTACCTCATAAAGTGCCATAAGGGTTTCGCCCGAAGAGGATTTGTAGAAAATACAACTACTTTATAAGGTGAAATGGGCCAAAGTTGTGGAGAAAACAATATAAAATGTTACGGACTATGAAAGAGACATGCATTATATAAAATCAAATTATTAATGTTAACAACGACAGCTCAACAAGTGTGTGTATTGAAAGTGATTAAATAAATTTAATATTTAATCTAGTGCAGTCTTAATTTATATAAATTTTGTGTTTCGAGTTACTGTTTCTAATTTATTCTGTTAATCTAGATAAAAATGATTACCAACTCTAAAGAATCGATATCGATTTCTCTTAAGAATCGAATATTGTAGATACCGATTTTTTAGTTGGAATGCTTAGTCCAATAAATGTGACAGCTGTCAAAAGGTATTTCTTAGATTTGGTTGGTATAATGCCGCTGTGTTTTGTATGGTGGATAGAAAACGGGAGACGCTTTTCACTGGATACGAGGCATTTGACATTAGTCCTCTGGGGTGACAATGCATTTTGATTCTTAATCGAGGATAAATGTAGATGTTTATGAGCCAAATTATTCACTTAACAACAGGTGGATTGTATACTCGTTTGTCACATTTATTCTTTATAAAAATCACTAAGGCGCTCTAATTCCAATGAATGTTCAAAGATTTAAGACGTGACAACTCAGACGATAACGATCTGATACTGACAAACTTATAACTAAATTTTGATAAAGATAAAATGACGAATGTGAAGTTATATAACAACATAACAATGTGAACTAGACAAAGTAATTATTCAAATAAGACATAACTTTCTACATTAAACAAATAAAAAAAAGGAAATTAATTTGTATTACATAATAAACATTGAAATAAAAGATGTAACTTCAAAATTTTTTATTTAAAAATGTATTTTACTTCTAGTATTATTAGGCCGAATAAGAGGGTTAGTAAAAATAATTAAAATTATTATATTTCAAACATGAAATTAAGTTTGTAAAAAAGCATTAATACTTTAGCAAAAAATGGGTGCATCATCACTCTAATGAAAATGTTATAAAGCGCATAAACTTCTGCAAGTCAATAACTTTACTGTTAGAACTGGTTTGTTAACGGAAAAGATGGACTTACTCTTTGATGAAGATTCTTCTTTTTCAAGGCGAAGCTGCTCCTGGCGCTTCTCATACTCCTCCTCTTCATCTAACCTATTTGTTGGTTTCTCTGCGGATGTTTCATCTTCCAACTGTTTTTTATACAAAAATAAACGACTTTACTTTAACATGTAACTAGTGATAAGTTAGGAGTTATACATTTAATTCTAGCCAGGGAAAAATTTATATGAACTTATTGCTAGCTTTCTGGTGTGTGTGTACTATGAATATAATCTTGGTTCTATTTTCTCTTTCAAACTTATATTTAATTAGTCTTACTGCACAAGTTGCTCTCATCATTGGGGGGTATTTGCCATAGTTGCCACGCTTGGCGAGCGGGTTGGCAACCGCAGTTTTTTTATTGTCATTTGGCTATTATCAGGAAGATGCTGCTGCCCATCTCCTGGCTGTTTCCCTTTGTCGCCTTTTACGACACCCACGGGAGGATATGGGGTAGTGGATATTCTTGACCGCCACTACACGGCAACGATATAGTCCTTATGGCAGAATCGCTGGAGGACCTAAGCACTATGCTCAATGACCTCAATAGTGTTTCCCAACGGATAGGTCTTAAGATGAACATGGACAAAACTAAGATCATGTTTAATGTCCATGTCACACCTATGCCGATAGTTGTTGGGAACACTAAGCTCGAAGTTGTTGACGAGTATGTTTACCTAGGACAAATAGTCCGACTGGGTAAGTCCAACTTCGACCGAGAGGTCAATCGACGGATTCAACTCGGCTGGGCAGCGTTCGGGAAGCTACGACACATCTTCTCGTCAGACATACCTCAAAACCTTAAAACGAAATTGTACAACCAGTGCGTGTTGCCAGTGATGACTTACGGAACTGAGACGTGGTCCTTCACTGCTGGCCGTATGAGGAAGCTCAAGGTCGCTCAGCGAGCTATGGAGAGGGCTATGCTCGGAGTTTCTCTGCGTGATAAACTTAGGAATGAGGATATCCGCAGTAGAACCAGAGTGACCGACATAGCCCAACGGATTAGTAAGCTGAAGTGGCAGTGGGCCGGCCATATAGCTCGAAGAACCGACAACCGATGGGGAAGAAAGGTTCTCGAGTGGCAGCCTCGTACCGGTAGGCGAAGTGTAGGGCGTCCCCCCACGAGATGGAGTGACGACCTGGTAAGACATGCAGGAAGTCGATGGATGCAGGTGGCTCAGGACCGTGTTTTGTGGCATTCTTTGGGGGAGGCCTATGTTCAGCAGTGGACTTGTGAAGGGCTGTGATGATGATGATGATGACTGCACAAGTTATGGACCAGATACGCCACTCCATGTTAGTGTTGGGGCACCCCACACTTAGACGAGACTCATGAACTTTCCTTCCCCCATCCGTTGTCGGTTCTTCGAGTTATATAGCTGGTCTATTACCACCTCAACTTGATTGCACACCAGTGCAACAACCAAAGTATGTCACATATACCTCAAAACTTGAAAACAAGTGTACAACCGGAAGACAAACGGATCTGAGACGTGGTTCTTCACTGCTGACCATATGACCAGTGAACTATAGAGAAGGCTATGCTCGGGGATTCACTACATAATAAACTTCGTATTGATATCCGCAGTTAAACCGGAGTAACCGGCAGCTCAACGGATGAGCGTGAAACGTTAATTTATTTGTATACATTGTTGTGGTTCTATTAATATTTTGAAATCTACATGCAACCGATTTTACCGCATACTCCATACAAGTTTGAACGAATCAGTGCACCTGTATTTGCCAATATACTTCTGGATTGTGGCAATAAAAAGTGAACATTATAACAACTTTTTTTTGAAATGTTACCCCCCACACTAGGATTTTATTGGGAAGTATTTAAATTCACTATCAGCTAGGATAACATTATAACAGCATAAACACATAATGTATAAAAAATATGAAACATAATCAGTACTGCTTTATTTGGCCTTATTTTAAATCATCCTATAATTTCAGTAATACATGCAAGCTTATAGGTTAAAAACCTAACCTAAAACTGTTTTAACCTAATTGTTAAAATAGTTAACATATATCTATTAATAAGATCTAAACTAGTCTGGCCATAAATAATATTTACAATTTTAAAAAAATCATTTATTTTGTAGGGAGCTATGACGCGAACTTGACCACCGGCCATTTGCTGCTACTGTAAAAGTTACAGCTTATACAAGTCCCACTCCTGGACTCAAGCCTCCTCTAATTTCTTAGAGGGTTTTAGGGCAAGGAAATATCTGCTATGCTGCCCGCTGCGTACAGGTTTTGTCACGATGTTTTCCTTCACCGCCGAGCACATGATAAATCAGCACTTAAAACTGCAATTAAGTATTTCTTTGGTGTCAGTGGGGCTCGAACCCAGATTGCTCGTATACTATGTATATTTAAGTCAAGCGCTCAGTTGCTAAGCGCTTGACTTAAAAACCATGACTCTGCTCCTGTGTTATCGTTTAAATATTGGTTTATATGGAAATTTGAAGAATAAAGGTCGTTTGATTTTCTGTGTTAAATACCTATGCATATGAACTATAGTAGAATCAATGAAATAAGTGCTCCAATAAGCTGCAAGTTATTTTGTCTACAGAAGCGCCTTAAGGACCATCGCCATCGACTGTCTGCTGGCTTTAAGCGCTGTTGAAACCATATTTACATATAAGATAATATATTACATCATTATAATTAATAGAATCAGGCGTTACTTTACGGAAATCCATTATATAAAAGCTTTTAGAAAAATTTACTTCGCAAATATCCCCGTTAAAAAATTGATGTATTCTTTTTAACCCCCGACGCGAAAAGAGTGGTGTTATAAGTTTGACCGCATGTCTGTATCACCGTAGCTCTTAAACGGGTGAACCGATTTGGGTGCGTTTTTTTTTTATTTAAAAGCTGGTTTCCAGCAGTGGTTCTTCGACATGTTTTATCAAAATCGGTTCAGCCGTTTAAAGATCATCAGCTGTTTTTTACTCGGGGGTTTTTTAAATTTTGAATTTGAGTTATTGGCTAAAGGCTTTGTAGCCAATGTCACAATAAATTATTTTTCTAATTTAGTCCTGAAGTATAACCTGTTAATTAAAAAAGAATCATGTTAATCGGTTAAGCCGTTTGCAGACAAATAGGTAGTCATTAAAAAAAAAACATATATGCGTGAATATTGAACTTTCTCATTTTTATAACTCGGTTAAATATATGCATTTCATACTAGGTAAATCCCGAGATGATTGACGGATTGCCTACTGACAGGAAATCTAACCATAAATGCTGAACCGAAGCTGATAATGGGGAGTAGCATTACCAGAACGAGCATTTTGCTAGGCAAACGGCTTGAAGAACAAGCCGTTTGCCTAGCATGATGAGTATTAGATCTTTCAAGTAAGGCATGTCAGCTGACATATTCTTGAAAAGACCACCAGCTGCGCTATTTAAGAAGACTGTTAATGTGATTTAAAACACAATTTTAAGTATATATTTGTCAGCTTAACTTCAACACATATAATACAATAATTTAGGCACTAGATATTTACCTCGACAAAAGGTTTGCTTGATGGCGCAGTAATTTGTTCAACTATTGGCTGTTCAGTCATCTCTTCGTCTTCAAATGAGCTGTCATCTTCATTTTCATCTTCTTTAAAGTCTTCCTTATCTAGAAAATAATATTTATATATTTTTGGGGCTTTAGATTTTTTTATTTTAAAAAACTAAATTAACAAAGGAACTTACAGCCTACATGATGGTAAGTGGCAACTGCAGTCTACAGGAGCTGGCAACCAACTTCAAGCAAAAGCTAGAAATGTATTGTCACTTCTGAGGACTAACATATAAAAAAAATAACATGAAACGCTTCACAGCCTGTAATTACGCTGGTTCTCTTTAGCCCCCAGACCAGAACACAGTAGTGCACGCAATGCTTGGCGGCAGACATTGGTAAGTGAGTGGTACCTACCCAGACTGACTCGACGGAGAGTAAGTCAGTTGTATTTTACTCAGTTTATGATAACAAATGTGTCGGATAAAGTGATTAAGCCTTTTCAAGTAGGTAACCTATTTTTTATAGAATAAAAGTGACAAACGAGCACACAGTCCACCTGATGGTAAGTGGTTGCTGGGGCCCATAGACATCTACATCTATCCTCGATTACGAATCAAGATGCAGATGCGTTGTCACCCGTGAGGACTAAGATGGAATGCCTCGTTTCCAGTAAAAAGGATCTCCGGTTCTCTACACCCACCATACAAAACACAGCAGCATTAAGCTACTATTTTACACTGGTATTCTGTGAAAGCGTGGTCCTTCCCCGGTCGAGCCGACCCATTCGTGCTACAACTATAAAACTAAGATACTGTAGCATGGCTCTACCACATACAAAAAACTGGATATTTATCTTAATTCGTGTCATCAGCTAACAGCATTTGACGTTTAGTCACCAAAATTATTAGGTAAATTCTTCCATCTCTATGACAAATTTCCATAAATCAACCTCTACACTACAAATAGAGTGACAACAACAGCTTTCATTTCAAGTTATGCAAAACAGACACAGACAATAAAAGTATATGAGTAAAACAACTACAGAAACAGAAACGTTTTTATTCAATATAGATTATAAATAATACTTATTGCGAATCCTTTGTTTTATTTACCACTGGTTTGGAAAAAAATCCTCTGTCTGGAGAAGAACTAGCAAGAAACCCAGGGACTTAAGATGAAAAACAAATAACAGCTTATAATCATATATGTTATACACTTAGCAACATAAAAAAAATAGAATTAACTTGGTAGCAAACACCTCATTCCCGGGAGTTATAATCATCCATAAATTCCTTAATATTATAAAAACCCTTTTTATACAAACTTTGTTAAATAAAGTTTTTTAACTTTGCAGAGGTCAAATTTTTGTATATTTTCTGGGATTTTGTTGTAAAAGCGTATACATCGGCCCAAGAATAAATTACTGATTCGGTGGTGTCGAGTAACTGGTACTACTAGCTTGTGTCCTAGTATTTACAGAAAGAATGTCACTTATTTTTTTAAAACTACTTTTACTTTTGTGTATATATATTATATGTTCATAAATGCGGTAAGAGGCCAAAGTTAACGTATTAATTTCGTAAAATTTTTGTCTGAGCGACTCTTTAGGTTTTAAATCATAGATTGCTGTTAGGGCGTTCTTCTGTAAAACAAATACAATTTCAGTGTCAGTCGCATGTCCCCATAGAAAAATGCCATACGACATTATGGTATGGAAATAGCTAAAGTAAACTAGACTAGCTGTTTCAACACTGGTAAGCTTTTTTTACACCATAAACTGCAGAAATAAATCTGATATATGGGGCCAGATTGAAGATTACTAGTGTGAATCCAAAAAAAATGGTGGTAACAACAAGGCTCAACTCCTCCCCATTTAAAATTACATTAGTATTTAAATGTTTGACATTTGAGTTATTAATTTCATAAATTTAGTTTTAGTTCCATTTAAATGCAAATTTATTTAACGTTAAACGAAGTTACAATTTTAGATATAGTATTATTTACTTCGTCATATTTTAGTAATTGTCATTTTAATTTCAAAATTAATGAAGTATCACTTCTTACACCGTACTGTTGAAGCTTCCTGATTTATGTTTCATAGTGAACACAATCGAAGGCCAAAGATAGGTCACAGAATAAACCCAAAAGTACCCTTTGAATTTCCCCATGCATTGAAAATACATTTAATCAGCTCAACAAAAGCATTAGTTGTCGAGCAACCCCTAGTGAAACCAAATTGATTTTTGTGAAGTAATATATTTACAATTAAAAAAATTAACACTTGACTAAGAATAATTTTTTCAAAAATTTAACTATGCAGTAGTACTAGGCAGTACAGAAATAGGTCTAAAATTGGCAACGTCCAATGTACTACCAGATTTATATAAAGGTTACTTTAACACACCAGATTCAATACCAGTATAAAAATAATAGGTAGTTGAGGTGCGATTGTATTTTTATAGACGCAATAACTTTAACGGAAAGCCCCCACAGATCTGCAGTTTTCTTAATATCAATAGTTTTTAAATATTTTACTATATATTGTAATGATACTTTAAGAAAAGTAAAGTTCTTTGTACAAGAATTTACATTTGTTTAAGTAACGATTCAGCGACGGCAGGAAAAAAATTCTGTGAATTAGAGGTGAAGATCTGAATATAAGTAAAATATTTCTCAAAAACCATGGCAACAACAAATAAGTTAGTTCCATAAAAGAAGGACTACAATATTATCCCAGAAAACCACCATTAATTAGCAGCTCTATGCTTAAAACGTGTGAATTTCCCAAAGTTGACTTTTCCATTCTACCATTTATCCGAACAATTACTCTGTATGGAATAGTTTATTTGTTATTTGTATCGAAGTCTTTAAAAACTGACTTTGGGAATGATTGTCCAAAATACTTTTTAGAAATTGATGACTCATAATGGTATTTAAGTCAGGCGCATATTAAACAGAATGGAAGTAATTTTACGGATTTAATAGCAGATCGGATTTCGAATTTCTATACCTGTGATTTTGTCTTCATATCTGTATGTTACTTCATCAGAAATTGGCACTTCTTCTTCATCTAAAACTTCTCTCTCTATTTTCTCTATTTCTTCACTGATTTCTTCTCCTTTTTCTACTGCGTTTTCATCAGTACCCTTTAACGTACAATATTTATATATTTAAATAATAACGAAATTAAATAATATCAATCCAAGCCAAGAAATTACGTTATGTATACCTACTCAACCAAATCTAAGGAATACCTTCTGACATTTCACATTAATCATTCCGCAATAAATTTGTATAAGCATACTCACACGATTTAAAATAACAATTTATTTAACTCCAAAGTATTACGAAGTTATCTATATTTCATTATAACATGTATAGTTTTTTAAATTTATTAATTTAAATTCGAATTTTTCAAACAGAGCAAATATAAAAAATTACCAGTTTCAACTGTAATGCTCAACATTGTTTCAATGATATGTCATTATGCACCATACCGTAAGTGTTTGGATAATTCAAATTTATGTTAATGTGAATAATCGTTAAAAATATTCAAATAACCTTTAAATTTTTTAATTTATTATTTGTTTATCAAAAAAATTTTTTTTGGAGTTGGATAAATTATATGAATCATCAAGTCTAGTTTTTTTATAATTCTTTTTTACTTATGAATTTGATATAATTATTTTAGTAATTATCTAAAATGTTAATATTATAATTAACTTGAATGAATTTAATATAACGCGCTGATCCTTGTTGGTCGAAATAAATAAAATAATTCCTGTGAATCCCACTGTGACAAAGTTGCGGGCGGGTAAGTTTGGAATATGCTGAATGAAGATGGCTTGTACAATGGAGTCATTGAAAACCATTTGGAAAGGAATTGCCTTACGACACAAAAAAATTGATAAACGCAAAATAATTATTTAGAGACATGAAATGCAAAGAATAAGATTTAAAAATTAAACATATAACCAATTGGGACCAATTGGGAAAACGTTATATTCATCAATGAAACATTATTATTTTTTTGGGGTATTTATAGAGTATTCTTATCTGGTTGGGCTGAATAAATATCTTAAAGGAAATAATAAATAAACATAAATAAATAAAGTCCCAACCAGATGGAAGCCCTCAGCAGGGGAGACAAAACGGCAGAGGGTTAGGGGGAAAGGGAAAGAAACCGGCGGACGATGCGGGCGGTATCAAGGAGCACCGCCTTCTGCATTTGAGACCGGAGTGGTCCGTCGCGGAGGTCCAGTCGCCTCAGATGACCCGAAAGGCTGACGGGGATTAACCCGTTTGCAGAGACGACTACAGGAATAATTTCAGTCGGTAAACCATCTCGGTCACCTCGTGAGCCAGGTACAGATATTTTGTTTTCTTATCTGCTTCGGCTTTCACGAGGTTCTCGTTATACGGAATGGTAATGTCGACCAAAAATACCCTTGACTGTGCCCGGTCTTATTATTATTATTATTATGTATTATCAGGCAGGCAGTTTGAGTCTTTTTGCAAATCAGAAAGTGATTATCTAATCTATTTTTGAATTGGTTCACGTTTTGGGCTGAGACTACGTTCTCTGGCAGCTTATTCCACTCGGTGACTACACAGTTACAATTGAAGTGCTTGTTAGGGTTGTTGTTTGAAAAGCTGGTTCATAGCTTAAGATGTTAATCTAAACGCCAACCACACTGTGCCGTAGACATGGACAGATGACAAGAGCCTGTGGGTAAAGGTGGGCGCCTAATAATTTGCCGTGTGGGATTCGCCAGAGTAGGATTTGTAGAAAATACAACTACTACACAATGTGATGGAGAAAACAAAGAAAGTTGTTGTGCAAGACTATGAAAGAGACTTGAATTTACAGAGAGAGAGAGAGGGAGAACTTTGAATGCATTATAGAAAATCAAATAATAATTAATGTGCACAACGTTGATGACGACGATAGCTCTACTAGTTGTAGTCTTTAATTTATATAACTTTATCTCTAGACATTAAGCAAGTAAGATGAAAAAACTAATAAATTTTGTGCTTGGAGTTATCTCTTTCTGATTTATTTTGGTATTAATCTATATAAAACTGTTAATGATTACCAACTCTTAAGATTTGAAATCGATATCTCTTAAGAATCGAATATTGTAGATACCGATTTTTCAGTTGTAATGCCTAGTCCAATAAATATGACAGCTATTAAAAGGTATTTCTTAGATTTGTTGGAGTATAGTATGTTCGCCGAGCGTCAAAGTGCATACTCACATGCAAATAAATGTTTATTAAGAATAGACAAAGAGTATTTTATCACATTTTAATAGTATGCTGATCATCTTATGCATATTTCATAACATATTGAAAAATTATTTACTGTATTACTGCAAGAAAGCACACAATTATTATTTTATTAATATATTTAAAATTAAAATTAAAGGACCATGGGCAAAAATGTATGAAGCCTGGGCTCACCCACCAACAGAGATGAGATCACTTTGAATATACTTGTACTGCAATAAATATAAAAATATAAACTCATTTATGTGAAGAATCCAGGGGGTTATTTTTCTATAAATATTTTTCTCCTACCATAAATAAGCTATAATCCTGCAAAGTTGTCCTGTTATGACATTGTAGTTTTCGTTGTTTGACATCATATACTAGTTTTAATTCCAGGTGCAAAAAAAAAACAGCTGTTATCAGTTAAAAATATTTTTATTTTTAACTAATAACAGCTGTTTATCAGTTAAAAACATTTCACGACACGAGCAGTAATATTGAGAGATGGCATCTGGACTTTTTTCATTTCTGTAGACTAGAATATATACGTAATGTGTACAAACATGTCTTGATTGTATTCTTCCTCTTGATAGCCACACATTTTGGTGTTGGACATTGCATGCTGCTAAATCATGTAATTCATTTTCACGATAGATTTCTATCGTATATAAACCATTGCGTAAATGTTCGCTGCAATATGACTTATCAAGACCCAAAGGATATAGTGATATAGTAGAGCGTGTAGTAGTATAATATAGTTAGAAGGGACGGGCGCCCGCGCAGACGTCCGAAAGGTGTGAGGGATAGAGAGTGTTGTAAATCGCATCTATTGTTTACCATTATTTTAAAGTATGAATTTGTTGTTTCAATAACAGTTTTATGACTACCAATTGACTTTTTTTACAAAACCTATTTAGGTGCATATCTTTTTTCTGCAATGGAATTGAAAGTGGTGCCGATAGTAACAATTTAAGTACGAACGAAATCCTTTACAATGGCATATGCTATAACTCTGTTGGACACTGAGCCCAATTTGTCGCATGGTCCTTTAAGCACTGTTTAATGTTAAAAGCGGATTGGTTAATTGAAAGTAATTATAGATGTTATTAAAATCAATAAAATATCTAAACACAATAATTACATATTCAACTAATCAGGGGATAATTAAATAAAAAGATAAAATACGAAAAGCGAAAACAATTGATCATCCGTGACTGTTTAAAAAAAATCGCTTAACAGTTTCCTTTCAGAGTGAAACATGTATCTTGTAATTTAAAAAAATGAAAATTTTGTACAACCGACTTATAATAAATTATTAAGAATAACTCAAAAACTATTGATCAGACCTTGATCAAATTTATATGAACCACATGTGAAGCACCAGTTTCCAAATTAAAAAAAAATCATCGAAATCGGTTCACTCAGAAAAGTTATGAGGTAACACATATAAAAAAACATACAGTCGAATTGAGTACCGTCTCCTTTTTGAAGTCGGTAGAAAATTGAGTTAATGCCAGAAATTATTAGTCTTCACAATCAATCGCATATCATTATAAGTTTCAAACATTAAAACTTCGTATTATAAGTTTGCACCTCAATTTCACTATCCTTGTCATCTGTGTCAAAATTTTCATCAATATCATCTTCATAATCTCTTAAATTTTGCTCAATATCTTCATTTTCGTAGTTGTCATTATTGTTCCTTATTTCATCACTCTTATTTTCATCAATGTCATCGCCATCATCATAATTTTCAATATCATTTTTCAAATCTTCTTCCGAATTTTCATCACGCTCCTCTTGGAAATTATTATCGTTTTCACCATATATATCGCGTTTGTAATATTTCTTGTATTCAATGTTTTGATCATCCTGTTCAAATTTATTGCATATAATATAAATAACTAGACATTACGATTGTTTTTACTGATGCAAAATAAGCTTATCAATAAAATCATCCTGTTCAAATTTATTGGAGATAATATAAATAACTAGAAATTGCGATTATTACTACTGAAGCAAAATAAGCTTATCAATCACAATTCAAGAAAATGTAACTAGTATTCTGATATATTTTAAAAACAACAGGCAAAATTACAGATAAAGTTAATAACTTAATGACATAAGTTTAAAGCATTACTTAATAATTTTTTTCTATTTTGATCACACCTCATTATCATTAGCTTCTACATCCTCGTCTTCACTACCATTATTATCATCTTCGTCTTGATCATCATCACCGTCGTCACTTTCTTCCGTTTCTTCATCAGCATCGTCTTCAATACTAGTGTTTTCCTCTTCATCTTCATGCATATGTTCTTCAGAGTGATCATCATCTTCAATATGTGCTGATTCACTAACATGATGCTCATCATCATCGTCATCATCATGTATTTTTTTATAGTCCTAAATTATTTTTTATGAGGAAAATAATATATTTATTATAATTTAAGTCTCGCAAAAATGATAATTGCCTTAATGCAAATTCATTGTGATTCAATAAAGATGTAGTAGTAACTAGCTGTTTTTATGTAGATCAGAATGTATTTAACAAAAAAGGTACATTTATATCTTAAAAAAATTTAAGTAATGTAAAATAACTTACATGATGTTTTAATTCCAATGTATGTTCATCATGATGATCGTCATAGGGTGCATCTTCAATCCAACCATCCAGTACTCCAGAATATCGAGATTCTACTGCATTTGCTTCCACTGCATACAAAAATAATTAAAAATTTTGTACAACCGACTTCAATATATATATTATTAAGGATAACTCAAAAACTATTGGTCAGACCTTGATCAAATTTATATGGGACCACATGAGAAGCCCCAGCTTTCAAATAAAAAAAAGAATCATCGAAATCGGTTCACGTAGAACAAAGTTATGAGGTAACACATTAAAAAAAACATACAGTCGAATTGAGTACCTCCTCATTTTGAAGTCGGTAGAAAAGACAAATGATGTTAAATCATATTTATTGCATAATAATTTGCAATGGTAAATTGAAAATGGCATTTTTGATGGTGGCGTTATACAATTCATCACCCCATTTCGTCATGTAGGTGTTGTGGTAAAAGGATACTATAGATAACACCAGAATAACATTATTTCCTTTGGCATATATCATACATCATGGACTTCCGATATATATTGTCATAACCATCCACATTACGCCAGATGGGAAATTATTAGACAAGTGATGGTGAGCTGCTTCAAAGTTAAGAGAGGTCTGCTACTGTGTGAATTAGTTGCAGTGTTAGTTCTGATCTGAGTGTTAATTTCGGATATGGCTTATATTTATTTACCATTAAAATATGTTTGAATGACACCTTGATCTTTTATGGAGTTAATAATATTTTTATTCTAAAAGTTTAAAAATTATAATTTTAACTCATAGGTGTTATGCTACTATTGGATAAATAAATTTTTGGTAAGTTTAATTGAGACACATTTATTATTTTATTGTTGTTTTAATGTTTTATTTACTTTTAGTTCTTCTAAAAAAGAATTGTGGTAAGTAATTAGCGAAATAAATTTATTAATATTACTCTTGACACTTTGTAATAGATTGTAGAGTTTAAGTTATTTTCACCTTTTATATGTTGAGATGTGACACAAAGCTGGGTAACCATTTGAATTATGTTTTCTGATTTTTTAAGATTTATTGGTGTTTGATATTTTAAACTACCTTATCGAAACATTTATTTTTATCGAATAGAGTGATGTTATTAACATTAAATAAAAATAAATTCAATTTGTTAAAACTATCAATGTAATATATCTTACAGTCCATGGCCAAATTATTACATACACTATAAGATTCTATGTAAAATCTTAAGTATCGGGTGATATTATACATCTTTATTGTTTTTACTAGATACAATGTATATTTTTTTATTATCCACCTTATCTATTTTTAACACAAATAAAACAGTCATAGAAAAATATGTATTTTATAACTCTTGAATTTTTTTAAAATGAATGCAATAAAATGTTAATATTTTGTTGAGCCAACTTTAGGCGCTATGAGAGCTTCAATTCTGTGCGGCATGCTATCAATGTTAGACTGTACTGTCTCCTGCATTTGAGGATGATGATTCCACACATGAATGATCTTTTCTAAAAGTTGAGTTTTGTTTGTGATGATCTTTAGCCATTTCTCTCTTCATCAGGCCCCACAAGTTTTCAATAGGATTCATGTTGAGGCTATTACCCGGCTAATCCAACAGAGGGATATTTTACTCTCTCAAAAAAGCTTTAACAGACCATGCTGTGTGACAAGGAGCACCATCTTGCATAAAACTGAATGGTTCCCCATTCGGAAAACATACTCCGAGCTTCAGAATTAATCGATTTTGTAAGCCTTCTTTGTACTGATCTTGCCTCATTATATCTTTCACTACATACAGACATCTAGTACCCTTGCCGCTGATGACTGACCAGGTCATCACTTTTGTAAGGTTCTAAACTAACTAAGCTAACGACACAGTCAGGATGAAACTTTTTTCCATGACGACAACACACAAACAGAGCTTTATTCTGCAAAATTTCAAATGTGCTTTCATCACTGAAGCAGACCTGTCAAGAATAGCAAAAACTAATAAACATCCTAAACATCTGTGCTGGTTTTTCTTTATTTCATAGAAAATGATATTAAACTTTGCTTTCATTGTAGCTGTTAACCTGGGCGTGGGGTGGGAGGAAACTAAATCTTTTAATTTTCTTCGAACAGTGTACTCAGAAACATTCACATTAGTATCTTGGAGTTACAATTTTTTATATTTTGAGCTTGCAAATTTGTTTCCCAGGCAAACTTTCTTTAAACATCTTTCAAACCTTGGAGTAAAAATAGGCTTTCTGCAGCATTTTTTCTTTCTTTTCGGGCTAATTTCGTCTCCTGACTCAATTTTCTTCTTAATGCGAGGTACGTTAGCTTCAGAAACCTTTAATCTCCGTGATATTTCGTAATCAGAAAATATTTTAACATGTAAGAGGGCCTTTTATTCAGCTTTTTACATGGTGAAAGATCGCATTTTTACCCATGAATAAAATGTTCCAATTGATTATTTTAACACTGTACACTAAATGAACAAATAACTATGTAGTATAAAACTGCGAAACAAATAAACACAGCACATAAAACCACAGAACACGTCCACAACTAAAGCATGCAAGAATGCAACTGAAACAGATTACTACTTGTTTACGTTCGTGTGTCAATTAACATTGTAATACAATACATTAAAAAAAAAAACACAGGAAATATATAAAAAAATTCCTGAATAAAAATACATTACATGTATATTTAAATATAAAAGTATTGCATATAAACTCATGCACAACATCTAATTATTAAAAAAACTACAGTGCGTCTAATAATTTGGCCAGGGACTGATTGAAAAATGAACTGTAATTTTAAACATTAGAATTTAGTTAATTTTTAAATAACTTTTAATTATAAAATAAACTTCACCATTTTATTGCCATCGCTACAGAGAACATAGGTATCAATGAGGGAGATATGAAAGTCAGTTTGTGATGTTCTATGCATGCTTGACAAAAGTTTTATTTCTTTATTTTATCTATAATTTTTCTTAAAAAACATTACCCCCATACTAGGATTTTCTCATGTGTTGTGGAGGCAGTTTACAAACATAAATTGCACAAGGACAAACATCCAGACCCAGAACAATTATTTGTAGGCCATACAAATACCTGTTCCATGCGGGATTCGAACCCGCGGCCCCCAGCGCAACAACTGATTGCTAAGCCACTGCGCCACGGAACCGTCGAAGTCTGCCTTTGTAATGAGTAAATAAAACACACATATAAGGGTTGGATCACCCTGTCCTCATGTAAACTTTTGGCATAATCAGGTGGACTCAGACCAAACGTCAGCTTAGCTTTTCGTGGACATGGTTGCTTCCCTCCATTGGCTATGGTTTGCTAACGTCTTTGAGGAAAACCAGGATTTTGTCCGAGAGATAAAGTCAGATTATTTAGAGAAATGACTATCAGAGCAACATTCTAAAGGATGGCAGAGACGACAGCTGGTATGCCATGATGAACTGCTCTGAAATCAGATGCATAAGACAGTACCCCTTGATACGGCCCAAATCATCCTTCATTTTTTTTCTTCCCTGTAACCCTTGGCCTTCTGGTCTGCCCTAAAGAGGGCTTCCGTCTGGTTGCATTTTATCCATTTCTTGAATCCACTATACGGAATGCTAAAATATTTTCTAATTTTCTCAAGCTACTTAACTGATAGCAACTATTAAGAGTAGTGCATAGGTACATTCTTAATTTTACTTACATTCTGACAGTCCTCTATTTTCAAGAATAATCAATCCTATTAATGTGACAAGAACAGCCAATAAAGAGAAGAAAATTATCTTAGCACACCAATGTCCCCCAGTGCCATGCTCATGGTATGAATGTATTAGCACATCGCCTTCACCAAATACTGCGGCTGTTCCACGCAGCTCCTCGATTCCCAGTTCATCTATAAAGAAATATATATTGGCATTTATTCAAAGAATAAAAAGGCTGTCATCATTTCGAATACGCGGCGTTTTACTACGATATTAGTATTTTTACCTTTTTTCCTCCTCTTTTCTTTTCGTTTTCTTGGTTGTACATCACCTGACATAGTTCGTAATAATCTGGCGCTCTGTAAGCGACAGACGAAATGATCTGCCTATTGTTTCATAACCCTGTGTAAACAAAGAAAATGCAGGTAAACCTATTTACGATGGTAATTGCGCATTTATCTACGAGCGCAAAAGAAATTAAAAGTTGCGCACGTTGATAATTTAAAATAACCTACCTAACAGAGTATCACCGCTGGATTCCTAAATTTATTTTAGTTTTAACCTAAAAATAGCCGGCGATGATAGCTAGGAATAGCCACAGAGTATATTGTGAGAATAGCTCATAACTGAGAAGCGAGAAAGATGACAGACTGACAGTTGTCAAGGCCAAAGAGTATATAATCATGTTTCAAGATTAATTTTTATGGTGTATTTATATAACTTTCTCTACTGCGTGCCTAGTGCGAGTATTATATGTGTTCGATTCTGAGAACGTTAGCTACGATGTATGGAATAAAAACAGCACCAACTAACGACAATAATCAGAATCACAATTCATGAGTGCGAGTTTATTACGGCCGGTCACATACATTCGGAATTCCGTTTCGAGATTCCGTTTCGGAATTCCGATTCGAGATTCGGAAGGTAGCAAGTTCATACAAAATCTATGACCCGTCACACACGTACGGTAGTTTTCCGTTCGAAATTTTGCAGGCAAAACAGGATTGTGAATCTCTGTGGCCGACCCGTTCGGTATTTTGAAACGGAATTCCGTATATGGCGGGCCTAAGTCGTCGATATCGACCATCGAGCATTGACTCGCATTCTGTAGTAAGAACGTTAAAGCTCATGATTGGTTCTTCCAAGTATTTTGCGAGTGCAAGCGGCAATTTTGATCGTTCGAGACGTAACATAATATGTAAACTTTACGTCGTCGCGATCGAAAAAATTCTTACATAGATTTTTACAGTGAAAAAGTAGAGTGAGAATTATTATAGAAGAGTTAATTTTATTTCAAAGCTTTAAAAAAATTTTTTTTTACTTCGCAAATAATACGCATTATAAAATAAAATGAGAAAATGAACAAACCGCCGCCCAACGCCCGCCTACCCTCCAACCAAGCAACGGTTTGTTTTTAATTTTACAAACGGCTGCGTAAGTCCGGCGGTGATTGGTCGCATGTTTTATTACATGACGTAGTCGCTCGCTCCTTAAGTAGAGAGCGGTTGCGTCAGCGGTCTGTATAAATAGCAGTTACTTTGGCTCACCGCTCACTTAGCGGTTAGCCACCGTAGAGTCTATATCACCTGAGGATGCCTCGTGTAGAGGCGAAACACCTGTCATTGTCGTCAGTGGCGTGTCTTGCCTAATGTAGTGGTGTTAGGAGTAGTGGTGCTGGGATTAGTGGTGACGGGGATAGTGCACGCAATTGAGGGAGGGCGGGAGGTGCTTTTAATACTAGGTAAGACACATCATTTTATTTTATAACGCGGATATTTGCGAAGTAATTTTTTTAAAGCTTTTATATAATGGATTTCCGCAAAGTAACGCCTGATTCTATTAATTAATTTTATATCGTTTTGTGTGAACGATATATAATTATGACAGGACGTTTTATTTTCGCTTGGAGGATGTTTGCGGCCACTAAGGCATTAATAACTAATAATAATAAATGACTGCTATTATAATGCCAGAGATAAAGCAAGAGCTCGTGCATATTTTTCAATCCGTTGAATGCAACGGATTACACCTCTGAAAATGTCAGAGGTGTAACCTCGATAACAGGCAATTTAAGGATAGATATCACCCTTTCAAAAAAGGAATTAAAATTTTTGTGTAAATAGCGTTTGATAAACCTAAGTTTTACCATCGCTATTCAATAAATAAGTCAATTCCTCCCAATTATTCATACAGGACATCCTATCCCTTGCAGATATTCATATATTCATTGACAAAATCCAATAAATTCTAGTCCGTGAAATCTACTAACAAAACATAAGCATCATGAGTTCACTTAACACTAAGTAACTTAAATTACATTTACTGTTCTACAAATGTCACCATAAAGTCATATTAGAACGAAAATATTTTCATGGATTTTTGCTTTTAATTTAATACTTTCAATAATTAAAAATTAAATGGCTAATTCACAATCGCATAATACTAACACAAACTGTCGACACCGTAATCAAATTACGAAAGATAAACTAATAGGTAATAAAGATCACTATAATAACCACAACTTTGATAGCCCGCAGGCGCTGCCACCACCGTGCGGTTGCATTGGCTGTCCGCGCTCACCGTACCCGTGCGGTGGGTGCATTCTCGCTTATGTGACTCCCACACCTGCATTCCTGTGGCATCCCCGCCCCCGTGCGGCTGTGTAGGTTGACCCGCGCTCCCGTCCCCGACGGTGTGTGCCCCACACCCCCTTCTCTAAGCGAGGTCATTTCCGATACGGCGAAAAGGCCACTCAGTCCAAAGCCAGTCCCATAGGTGGTGTTTAGTGGGTAGGCACTTCTTCAAAGTGAGTCCCACATAACCACGCAGCCGGCTGCGTGGTATGCTATGAGCATTCACCACCTCCCTCCTCCGCTTCCGGAGGGTAACCTTGCTTTGGGTGCAAAAAATCGCATAAGCCGCACTGATTGGCTTATTGAGCATAAGTCACGCTGATTGGCTCGTGCGTATCGTCCGCACGCACTGATTGGCTCTCCAATCGCATCGCGCAATTCAATTCGTGTACGTCCCATCCACATTTCATTCAGCGCTAGACTTACGTGCGACATGTATATGGCTGAGACAAACTGATATTTGACCCAGCAAACGCCATTCTAACGGTGCGCATAATTCTCGGCCTATTATTACTCGACTTGAAGCTTGTCACTTTGCCGATGAAGGCCCTTGCCTTTGCGATACGGTTATCATTTTTTTCTCTAGGCTGGGATGGAGCTACTTTGTCTAGGAGCTCGTCTAGCCGTGGAAAGTTTGGCGAACCGATTTCTATGATTCTTTTTTTATTTGAATGTCCCATGTATATTTGATCGAATTCTGAGCAATAGTTTTTGAGTTATTCGTAATAATTTATATTGAAGTCGGTTACACAAAATTTTTAATTTAAATTATTATTTTTATTGTTATTAAGATTTCCCCGTGTAGTGGCGGGTAAGAATACTCACTTCCCCATATCTTTCCGTAGGTGTCGTAAAAGGCGACAGAGGGAAACTGAGGCAGAGGATGGGCAGCAGCATCTTTCTGATAACAGCAAAACAACAATAAAAAAACTGCGGTTGCCAACCCGCTGGCCAAGCGTGGCAACTATGGCAATATACCCCCCCATGAAAGTAACGAAGAGACGGCCCCCAGTCCCCGACGGCCCCGCTATTCCTGGCTACGGTGGCGACCTTGGTAACGGCGGGGCAGGGGGTGCTAAGAATCTCCTGTGGAGGTTCGGTTGCCACCTACGACGACTCGTCCTGGCAACTTATAAAGCACGCACCCTGAGGACTGACGAGAGAATCCTGGAGCTGGAAGAAGAGATAGACAAGTTGCGCTGGAATGCCATAGGATTATCCGAAGTCCGAAGAGAGGGGGAGGACACGGTAATCCTCGAATCCGGCAATTTGTTCTATCACCGGGAGGGCGACCATCTGTCCAAAGGACCTCCTTGGGACAGATGGTCCTCCTCCTTTGGACGAAAGTCTCTCGTTAACAAAGTTGTAAAGATTGGGAGTGTGTCAACGAGGGTTGCGTACCTTATACTCAGAATCACCAAACGGTCTTCGCTGAAGGTCATACAGGTTTGCGCACAAACCTCGGCACACCCCGATAAGGAGGTGGGGGAAATGTATGAAGATATCTCTAGAGCCATGCATTCCTCCAAAACCCACTATACGGTGTTAATGGGAGACTTCAACGCAAAACTAGGCACAAGAGAAAACAGTGAGCTGAAAGTAGGGAGTTTCGAAATAGGACAACGGACCCCAAGGGGCTAGCAGCTGGCTGACTTCATGGAGAAAGAGGGACTCTTTATGATGAACTATTTCTTCCAGAAGCGGCCCCACAGGAAGTGGACTTGGTCGAGCCCCGACGGTTCGACAAAAAATGAGATTGACTGCATTATGACGACCAGACGACAACTGTTCAGTGATGTCTCAGTGACCGCGAGGGTGAAAACCGGCAGCGATCACCGAATGGTGAGAGGCACACTGAACCTAAACGTCAAATTGGAGAGGTCACGTCTAATGAAGTCAACGCTCTGTCCCCCTCGTGCTCTAATCTAATGTCCCGAAACCTTTCAGCTCGAGCTACGAAACCGTTTTCAGTGCCTAGAAGATTGCAATACAGTGGACGATATTAATGACAAGCTCGTGGTAACTGTCCATGCAGTCGGAGCTAAGTTCTGCAAGACCCGCCGCAGAAGAACACAAAAACTCTCCGATCATACTCTTAATATCATGGCTGTTATACGGATATGAAGCTGCAGTCTTCAGTAGATTTGACACCATACAGGCAACTGAACAGACAGATCTCCAAATGCACGCGGTGGGACTTACGCAACTTTAATACTGCTCGTATTAAAGAAGCAATCGAGCGGAACCAGGGCTCCAGTTTTTTCTAGAGATCTGTGTGCCAGAAAGAGCCAACTGTCAAGGCTGAAGACCGAGTGTGGTAGCATCGTTTCCGGGACACCTGAGATTTTGAGTGAGATTGAGAGGTTCTATGGGCAGCTGTACACATCATCGTTGGAGCTACACGCAAGTGTGAGTAACGATCCAAGAGCGAGTCTTATCCGACACTATTCCGCTGATATCCCGGACGTCAGTCTGAGTGAGATTAGAATGGCTCTCCAGCACCTTAAAGACGGCAAGGCCCCAGGCGAGGATAGAATTACAGTGGAGCTTCTGAAAGCGGGTGGAAGACCGGTACTTGAAGTCCTTCAGAAGCTCTTTAATTCCGTCCTCCATGGTGGCACTACACCGGAGGCGTGGAGCAGAAGTGCGGTGGTCTTATTCTTCAAGAAAAGTGACAACGCTTTCTTGAACAACTACAGACGGATGTCCCTTCTGAGCCGCGTCTACGTGCTGTTTTCGAGAGTCATTATGAATCGTCTCGCGCGCAGACTTGACGACTTCCAGCCTCCCGAACAAGCCGGTTTCCGAAAAGGCTTTAGCAGCATAGACCACATACATACCCTTCGGCAAATTGTACAGAAGTCCGAGGAGCGCAATATGCCAC